AAGCTGCTACCCTAATTCTTACCAATAACTCATGACTTCAGAAATTTTCAGACTGTCTTGAAACAAGTTTGTTTTCTAAATTCTTAGGGCATTTTAGGAGATGGCATCTCTATAAAAAAAAAAAAAAAATTCTTATATGGGGCATTCTCATTGAGTGAAATATTACTTGCTAAATTTAAAGCAATTCATGCACATATCGATGATCACAAACAGCCAAAATACAAGTCTTAAAGATAAATATTTCTAGATGTTCATGAAATGCCATGCAGAACTCACTGCAAGGAAAGACTCAAAATACTTGAAGCTATTATTAAATAAAAGAGACACTCCAGATTAAATATCTTTCTCCAGAGCCGATCATATATTGAAGGGTTTCTAAAATATTTAATGCGTGCACACAGAAACTAGTTGCATGCTTTATAACATCATTTTGAACCGATTCCAATTCCAGCACTCTAAAAAAAAGTTTGGATGTAGCCCACAAAATCTTGTCTACCATACCTTGATAATGACTAACATGGTTGAAAGAAATTGAGCAAAAACAGAACAAAACATTAACTTTGAACACAATTTTGATCTTGATGTACATCTTATTGAAAAATTATAAAATGACATCAACGGATCTTGGCAGTTGAATTTAATAAAACTTGTCTGGATGAGTTTTTGTTGTATAAATACATACAAATATTTTTAAAAGTTAGCAGATATGCTTTGAGTAGATCTAGACAAGATTTACAAAAGGTTAATTGAAGCTGGCACCACTCTGTGATGCTCTCTGTGGCTGAGTGGGTTAAATCATCGGATCACCCAAAGATATTTATCAACTAAATGTAACATTTAAAGAAATTACACACACACATACACATACATATACACATACATACATATATATATATATATATATATATATATGAGGGAGAGAGAATTAGTGGGGGGGAGTCAAATTTGCAGCTCTGTTCCATTTGTAAAATTCAATGTTTTTTTACATGTACCAATTTATCTTCCAATTTCAGTTTTCATTTACTTTTTCTTCCATATCTTTCTATATATATATATATATATATATAAGGAAGATGTTATAGTAGTTCTGAGAGAAAAGTGTGTATATTAAAAAGAGAAACTACAAACGTTTTTGGTTGTAATGTGGATTTTTAAAAAAATATATTATGCTTTATTGTCCATAATTTTGCTACATGCGTTTCTGGTCTCACGACTGTCATCAGGCAAAGGGTGGAGATTTCCCAATACTACTAAAAATAATTAATTTTTTTTCTTTGTTTTTCAATGATAAATATTCTCGATATGAGACATTAACTTTTTTGTGTTAGTGATCTAAATGTCTTTCTTGAACTGGCAGTGAAAAGTTCTGTGAGAATGTCTCATATTGAGAATATTTATCAAAAAAAAAAAAATTATTTTTAATAATATGTGGAAATCTCCACCCTTTGCCTGATGATTTTTGCGAGACCAGAAACACGTGTAGCCAAAAGTCCACATAACAACAGAAAACGTTTGCGGTTTCTCTCTTCTTTTTTATATATATATATATATATATATATATATATATGAAAGAAAAATACAGAAAAAACAAAATTCTGAATATGCATTATTAATGTTAAAATAAAGTCGACGTCGGACGTTTCGGTCTATTTAAGACCATCTTCATGGACATTTTCATTTAAACATAATTAACATAACTTATAACAATTTAACACAAAAGACGATGGACATAAGAGCCCAACTAATTCAGACAGATAACTGAAATTTTATACAGATCAGCGTTCTGTTTAAATATGATCACATAGTCGTCACGTGGGCGATGTTGTTAAGACGTATTCGAAGATGATTTCCAAAAATTAAAATATCAAAAAGTCGAATGAAAATTTTTTATAAACAATTAAAGAAATCTCTTCCGTTTCTTTTTTAATTGTTTATAAAAATTTTTCTCTCTGAGATTAGCTATTGTAACTATTTTATATCATTTGGATTGTTGTCCTCATTTTTATTGCCACATTCACAATGTTTTGGCCATTGTATGCTTCAGCCTTCTTCAGTTGATACATGTTGGAATTTCAAACCAAACCCTTTTTTTAATCCCCTTGAGTAACACAACTCTTTGGGTCACTAAACCAATGCTTTTATCCAAATGGCCTCAGTGAACAAAAAAAGTTGTGACTTTAGTAGAGGGAAGAAAAACTTGGAGAATTGAGTTACTAAAGGGAGATAACTGAAATTGAGATAAAAAAAAAAGGGTATGGAACATGAAATTAGAACAATCTACACCCTATGGACTAAAGAATTCAGTTTGAAAATTGTAACATATAATACCTGAAGTAGGGCAGAGTGTACAACAGCTGAAACGTTAACATGGCAACAAAACAATCCAAATGATGTAAATTGCTTCTTCTATGTTGTATTTTAATGATTCGATTGCAGATGCAATTCTTACAAATCTCTTTGGCAGGTGACAAAATTTAAGTCTTCTCTTTGACTCATTTTTATTTAAACCAACTTTAAACAGTAAATTTCAAAATCTTTTGTCAATTCTATATCGACATATATGATGTGCCTTTTCATGGCACAAATTAAAAAGGCCAATGGCAAAAATATTTTTAATAAATTTATATTTTTGGTAAATGGAAGGAATCTTTAATAACTCAAAGCTGCATTGTATTCGCTAGCTAACTCTGGCATCTGTGTCTTTCAACTAAGTCCATCTCATAAATAATCACATAATTAAAATCACAAGTTTTGGGTTTTTTTTGTTTTTTTTTACTCATAAGATTTAATATTTATTTACCTTTTTCTGGTCACTTTTTCTTTATCACTAATAAAGGTTTTAATACAAATAAAGAATTAGGTTTTATTGCAGAATTAAGTGGATTTATTAATGTCCTATTCCTTAATGAAACAATGTTTAATTGCTATGTTTTTTTTTGTTTTTTTTATATTGACTAAGCTACATAGAGCAGAAAGATTGTATTACACATCTCCATTTGAAGATCAGCATGATTTCAAAACAATTTCATTAAAAATTTTATTCTCAATGTCTGTGTACATTTATATAAATTAAAAAAAAAGTTTTAACACATTTATTTTAATTTCTTAGTATAAGCCTTTTTTTTTTTTTTTAGTGGGCGAGAAGAGCAAGAACAAAAAACTGGAGGCAAAATTTTATTTATTTATATATAAACAAACAAAACCCCCTAAATATCTTTGTACATTTGACATAAAAAGCATACAGAATATGAAACTAAGATAAATTTGTTTTTTTTCTTTTGTTTTTATATATATATATAATCCTTTTTATTTTTCTTCTCCATAATCCCCATCCATTCCCCACAATCTTTAAGGTTCAAAATTCACCCAACCCACCCCCACTAAAAAAAATAAAAATAAGTTTTAATGCAGGATTTAGCCAAAAATGTAAATCTCTGGAAAAAATAACATGAAGAGAGATACAAGCTAAACACAACAGATTAAAAAAATAAAAACAAAATGATAATGGATAAAATGTCAAAAGGTTTGTTTTTTGGGGTTTTTTTTCCTTTCTTTTTTTTTTTTCAGCAGCAACAGGAAGGTTAAATGCTGGTTAACAAAATACACCAGCAAGAAGTCAGGAAATACATCAATTGGGGTCTTTTTATTTTTTTCCTTTTTTGTTCTTTTTTATAAAAACTGGCCACAACCCATTTTTGCTTCCTCCTGCCAAATTGGCCTTGGCTTGTAACTCCTCTTCATCCCTTGTGAAAAGTAAAAGGAATGACTACACCAAAAACCAAAAACACTGGTCACTACAATCCAAACAGCAACTGGTGGAAGTTATAACATTTTCAAATAAATTGTCATGGCAGAAACAAGTGTAGCAAACATAAAAACAAGTTCCTCTTTTTCTTCAGAATTAAACAGTCATAGGAAGGTCGGGATTATATCGCAACAGAGCAATATTATTGTATTAAATATTGTAGTACCAACCCATAGTCAACTATAACTAGCTTTAGTAGTAATACTCAAGTTTACAATAGTAAGGTTTTTTTTGTTTTTTTTTTTAAGAGAGGGAGGAATCTGTCACTATTTTGACATAATAGGGAAAATTCAGCTTATTGCAATTTTATACTAACCAATACTATTTTAAGAAATTCTTAGCAAAATACATGTTAACTGATATCTTTGTTAAAACTGTTTTGCAGTTGTATTAGAAGGAAGAAAAAAAAATATCAAAGTAGAACTTAAAGATTGTAAAATCTGCATTTACATGATTATGAATTCCAATCGAAAGCTACTTTAGTTCAAAGGGAGGTAACTCCAACCGAACAATAAAACACTGGTAGATTCAAGACGGAACAAATTCCATCATCAACGAAGTCATAAATACAAAAAAAATTAAAATTTTAGGCTTTTTTTTTTCTATACAATAAGCAAAGCCATCGAAATATTTTTGTAATTAAGGTAGAAATCCTTTAAAAAAAAAAAAAAATTTTCCTTTTTTTTTATTAAATGTTATTTAATATTTTCAAGTTTAGTCTGCAATATTGGTTATACTAGAGCCATAAAGACTGCATATAAAAGCAACCACAAAAATAATTTGAGTTTGTGAAAAATACATTTTAACCTGCCTCTCAACCAACACTGATTTCAATGATGGTCTGTCTGGGGGAGTGGAGGAAAAACCTCAAACTTTTCAAATCAAACAACCCCTGAGTTAATTTTAATTAAAGGACACCGTTTTGTTTTCTTTTACCCTAGGCGGGATGGCAGTTTTTTTTTTTAATATTAAAAACATACAATAAGATTAATTCCAAAGATGAAAGATTACTTTTGATTTTTTTGTAAAGATAATGCCATTGCTACAAATAGCAACTGCAGAGCTGAAATGGTTGCATTCAACAGGCCAGTGCAATCAGCATGCAGAGGAGGGGGAGGGGCGTTGGTGAAGAGGGTCAACTGGGAGTGGCAGATGTTCAGAGATGTTAGGCACCAATGGTGGTGCCATTTTCAGTCTATTGTGGTAGACATTCAGCGTAATACTTGGCCTTCCTTTTTATGTAGTCAAGGTAAATTTTCATTTTTTCCTGTAAGCCTTCAATATCAAGCGTCAAACGATCAACCTCGGTGCTGTGTTTCTTAAAGTTCTCTACAACACCTGGAATAAAAAAAAGAAAAGATAAATGGTAAAATAGCGAAAGCAGCCTATTTTTATTAGAATCCCTGGAGAGCTCCCTGCCCACCCAAGTAGGAGTGCTTTGCTCCAAGCATTTATTCACCCACAGAAAGAAATGGAAGACTACTGCAGAAAAGTCATCTACCTAGTCAGTTATGAAACAAGAGACATGACCTCCCAAGTGTCTATCACATAATGGCACTTAACTAATCTTGTCAAGATCTCTTTCAATAACAATGCAAGGAAAAGTGAATTCATGCCTCCCCACCCCAAAGAACATCAGTGCAAAATTCGTAATAGGCTAAAGGTAAATGAAAAGTAAATGCTTTCAACAATAATCATGGAGCAGTTATTAATGTATTTCTTCATTGATAAGCACAAGTTTTCAAAAAATACCCCCAAGATTAAAAATTATGAAAATAAATAAAAATATCAAAACAATTGGCAAGTATAAAAGCTGGAAATGCTGGCATACATCATGCAGTCTATATCCATTTTCTTATGTTGTTCCAGCCTGACCAATGATTTTTAATACCCAGGCCCTTTTTAAGATGACAAAATTTGATTTCCATTTTTGTGATGGAATAAACAACTTGTACATTTCTGAGAAAATAAATAAAGTCTTACGTTTCAACTCTCTGTTCCATTTTGTTGTATTGACAGCCAACTCGTTTGCTCTCTTCTTCAAGAGAATGGCTCTTTCTTTTGAAGCAGCTGTTGCATTGTACTTGTTCCGGAGAGTTCCCGAAGTGCTATTGTATTTGGCCTCCAAATCTTGGGCAATCTAACAAAGAAATCAATTTGGCTTTAGATTTGCGAAACTACATTTAAAGACAAATGGACATCAAAATTATAAATATGAAAAAATAAATAGAATTGTAAATAAAGATGTACATAAAATCTTTTGATGATTAAATTCAGTTTATTTTTTAAGAAATGTCACCCCAACACAAAATGACTAAAATCATATATAGTTGCACTATAATTTGTTTGTATGTTATAAACTATTAAAAAAATAAGTAATATCCAATTACATCATTAGCAAATTGAAAAATAAAGCTCCTGAAATAATTTGAGTATTTTTTTTATCCTTAATTTGTATATGGTAAAATTGAACTTTAAAGGGAATTAACTCAAAAAGAGATATCCAAAAAAAGGCATATGTAGAATTAGAATAATCTAGACCCATGAACTAAAAGGGTTCCATTCAAAATTCCAATATATATCACGTTAACATGGAACCTGATCCAAAAAAATAGTCCAAATAGTACTTTTGAACACACATCTTTCCAGATTCTCAAAACATACATATCTGCTCTGTTTCATATCCTAATGTGAAGCAAAAGACAACTTTTAATTTAATTGTTTAAACATTATTTTTTTAATGGATACTTATATTTCTTTACAACTACCAGCCTGAATAGTCAAGAAATCTTGTTAGAAAAATATGCGCTCTCCGTGGTCAAGGCATGTCAGATCTAATTACTGTTACCCCTAGGGGATGCAGTTTCAAATGTAAACATGAAGATTGTTCACAAGTACTTGCTATCAATCTTTTCAAAAGATATCTATTTCTATTTTTACATGTGACCATTAATTCATTTCTTTTGTTTAGTAAATTTGGCTATCAATATTTTTTTTTTTAGAATGGTCAATTTTTCTAAAAAGGCAAAGATTACATCTTTCTCCTTTACCATTGTAAGATTTTGTTCTTACCATAATTTCCCATGTAATTCTTTTATTTACCAGTAATATTTAGAGAGAGCTGCATTATTTTGTATTTTTCATTACTCCTGCTTAGTTTGTGGTTGTAAAATCTTTCTTTCCCGTTTCAGTTGAGCCAATATAGTATTTTTGCTGATTGCCATACTAATACGATTAGTCAAACATTGGCTATTTAAGGGATAGCTCTTATTTAAGGGATAGCTCTTATTCTTTCGGCATTTACACTTTTTTCTTATTGATTCTTCTATTTTTTTAACACAGCTGATCTTTTATTTTTGTTAAATATCTTTAATGTTGGTAAACTTTGAGATTCTACCAACGTTAATTGTTATGTTGCAGAAGGAGTGTTGTTAAACCAGTGATTCTTAACTGCTACACCTTGTCATTATATATATATATATGTGTGTGCCATCTACAGATACTGTTTCACAGCTCATCAGTGTGACTAGACATCCAATCACTTCAGGCCAGAATGTGTAGAAGTAGTAATAGTACAGTATTAGTATTTAAATAAACATTAAACTTTTTCTTTTTCAAATAAGACTATGAAGAAGTGATTTTTTTATTTTATTTTTTTTTTTTTGCTCATTGCACATTCAATAAAACATTGAAGAAATCCAAAGAACACCAGGCACAGGTTTCACTCTAAATAAGCTGTACAAATAGTTGGTGTATGCATGGTTTTATTTCATAACATTTCAATGTATCCCCTTCAATACCCTTGTGTTGTTTTTTGCCATGTATTCTATATTTACTTTGTGTATGCTTTCTTCTAGGATTATATATATATATATATATATATATATATATATGCAAATTTAAACAAGTATTAGTATCTTAAAATATGCAATTTTGTACAAATATTCACTCATTGTTATATTTGTAAAATGAATATGCAGATTTTCTTTGTTTACATAAGATGCTGCTTGATCTTGTGAAAGAATAAGTTGTCAATCTAGCATGTGAAAGCAAGTGATCTAGCCAATTTATTTTGGACTTCATTAAAACGGGAACCCTACGAGGTGAGGTAAATAAGGAATACTGAATAAACTGATAAATACCTTCTCCGCTTCAATGGCTGTTTTCATGGCTTGGTCGGTCAGTTTCATAGCAGTGCTTAGTTTGTCTTGGCTTATGTAACGTTTCTGTTCCAGGCTGTTCAATCTATCTTTAAGCACCTTGATGATTTTTAAGGACTTTGTGGCATTGGCAGCCGAAGTAGACATGATGTTTTCAATCTGGAAAAAAAAAAAAGACAAACAATTGAAATGTAAACAAAAGAGAGTAAAAAAAACAAAATGGCTACCAGCAGCATCTCAATTCCATGACATTATCGTCTTGTGTAATAAAGGATGACAAAGAAAACAAAATGGTCACTTTCTTGTACTATTATCAGACTCTTCTTGCTATGTCCTATCTTTACAAGAAAATGGAGTACTGCTGTCATATCTGCTTTTTTCTCCAATTAAATTTTGTCTTTAGCAAAAGATGAGATCAGATAATTAAGACTATCTTTATTGTGGTTCAAAGACAAAATATAAATTGTTTTAAGTGTCTACATTGCCTCACACATTTTGACAGCCTTTATACGTCTGGAGATCACAAAAAACATGTGTGTTGAATATGTATAACTAATAGGAAGACATTTTGCTATCCTAACCTCCAGAAAGATAAAAAAAATTTAATGTTGATTAAACCTACAGTGTTCCATTTGTATTCATTTAAAGAAATCAAAAAGTTGCTGTTTTGCTTTTCAACAACAAGCAAATACAATTTATTCCACCCAAAACATTTTCTTGTTTTTTTTTTTGTTTTTTTTGTTAAGCATTTCACCCCAAGCAAAGTGGGAGTGCCACTAGCACATAAGGAGTTACAGAGAGTGGGAGAAAGAGTAAAGAAGCGTGAAAGAATGAAGAGAAGGATGGGGAATAGATCAAGGCATCTGGAGATGTCAATTGATATTGCATTTGAATAATTGAAGATTATAGCTATCAGGGAAGCAAGTAAGAGGGAGGGAGTTCCACAGATAAGTGCAAGACATGATGCTATTGGAGTAGAAGAGACAGCTACATTTAACTGTTTTGAAAGTGAAAGGGTGGGACTGAGATGCCAACCTAGTAGCATGCTTAAATTCATGCAACCTGGAGACCAGCAAAAGTAGCTCATCAGAGCAATTATGGTCAAGGTATTTGTAAAAAAAAAAAAAAAAAAAGACAGAGTGAAGCAATGCAATGTCCATGAAAAAGTGACTGTACACAAGATGCCAGATCAGGACCAATCACACTTCATATCTGTCTCTGGATTTTGTCAAGGACCTTTTATAGATTTAAAGGATGAACTCGGGTAAGAAAAACCTTCTGGCACAACACATAGAACCAAATTTCCAATTTGAAAACACACTTGATCTTTTTTTCTACATATGTTGAACATCATTGAAATAAAGAAACTGACCATTTGAAGATCTTCCTTAGCATTCTTAATATCTTCCTGGACTTGGTCAATTGCCATTGCTGCCTTGTCTTGGGACATTTTGGCTCCTTCCAGAGCTTTCTGCACATGATCAGCAGTGTCCAAAACATCACCAGCCTCTAAACTGCAAAGAAATTAAAAACACTGACAATCAACAGACAGAGAATTCTTGTATTGAAACATTTTTTTTCTTGATTTTCTAAAAAAATTACAAAAGTGTGTATATAAATATATATAAATATATATATATATATATATATATATATATAAATAAAAGAAAGATTTTTAAGATATAAAATTGATAGATCATTTTTTTTGATTTTTTTTGAAACACAAAAAATTCATAAAAATCTATATTTTTAAATCAATTAATTTATATATATATATATATATATAGGTTTTAATTTTAGCTGAAAAATATTCAAACTGGTATTTTACTCTCACTAGAAACTTGAAGAAAACACTAGGTTTTGTTTTTATTCTGGGGTCATCTGCTGATTCCACAATGTTTGTTGAAGCCTATATAGTTCACATGAGAGAGTTTTATTTTGTCTTGGAAACTAGTTCAATGCTGGCTTGTTGCTTGATAAGAAATGTTTCTCTTTACTTGGCATGACATAAATAGTGATATGGGTATTAATTGGATACCTTTCTTATTAAATTTAATTTCACTATCAACAGTCTTATTTTAATTTCTTTATAATATATTTTCCATAAAGCATCATAAACGTGAAAGCTAAGTACAAAAAAAAAATTTGTTCACTTAAATGTAAATTATTTCACTTTTCTCCTTCTGTAGAACCAATTATCAGTCTATGACGATGTGTCACTTTCTCATCAACAGCTGGGTGCATACTTGAAGCACCAGCTCTGTTAAAAATCAGGATAGAAAGTTCCATAGAGTTGTGCCAAAGAAGCTAACTAAAAGTAGCCTCTTGTGGTTAGAGAAAAGAATTTTTTTGCTTCTACAATGACCTGTCAACCCAACACAAGTTAAAGTAGAATAGTGCTGTTGTTTTTTGTTTGTTAAAATAACATACATTCTTATGCTCAGTTAAAACTCACTGATTCCTTCTATGCTTTGGAGTTTCTCACTTTTTCATTCCCTGTTTATTAGAGGAACAAAAGTACTACAGCTACATGTGAGTATTTAGCCTTTTTTTTTTCAGCTGATTAACTTACTTTGCCATATTCATTTGTTTTTTTTGTGTGTGGAGTTTCTACAGGCAACAAAACTTTTGTAAATATATTTGACATCATTTAAATCATCATAGATGAATCATTTGATTTCTCACTGAATATGAAATTTAAATATTGGTTTATTTTTTCATATTATGGTGAATGGAAAAGAATAATAAGGAATGTTTTAGTTAGTAAAGGCAACATGCAAAGTTAAGACCAATACCTTCCCATCTCCCAATTTCCTCCAGCATTGTGCCATACTTTATTTTATTTTTAATAAATCTCTTAAAGTTTCTTTTTTAATTTAATAATAAAAAAGCCAGAGTATACAAAACTGAAATAATGTTTAAAAAAAAAAAAAAAAAAATATATATATATATATATATATCAATCCAACCAAATATCCTTAAAGAGCTTACAAACAGACAAAGGTGGTACTCGAGTGAAGGAACAGCAATATGCGCGTTATTGTAAATAGAATACATTAATGAAAGACCGGTATCAGGTGGTAGGCTAGTAATTCCCGAAGCAAGGATATTTACAACCGCCCCACACAGTCAGATGTGGCACAAGGCCGAATTTAATGTGAGGCATTCGAGCCCATAGGCTTGTGCAAAAATTCCCTGTAGACCCCGTAAGAAACGAGGTCAGGTAGATGTTTACTACCCCCAGTTGAGACTCTGCCCTTCGGCATGGCCTAGTCTGAGTTCCTCTCTGTCAGAAGGCAGAGAGTTCGACTAGCTTAGCTGGAGATGAATCTCCAACTAATTACCAAAGCAAGCCCCCAGGTATATCCTGTGCTCACTATATATAGCTATTGATATAGTCAGTCCACATAGGCGATAGGGAATATGGGACATTCCATTACAACACCTCCCGCTGAAATTTTGCTCAATACCTCTTCTTTTTGAGGTCAGGACAGAATTGTTTGACTTTTTCTTCTGCCTTTTCTGTCTCACCAACACAAAAGTCATAAATGGGCAAAGTAAAAAAAAAAAAAAAATAAATAAAATAAGTCATCACAGCACAAATGAGAGACCTTTTTTTTATTACAGAATTCAAGAATTTCAAAGATTTTTTTTTCACTTAACTAAATTTAAAATTTTTTAATTTACCATTTTTATAAAAATATTTATAACTCGTTTCAAACTACACTTAATTTATTTGAATTAACTTAGTTTGGACTGATTGAAACAGTGAGAAAATCTACAAACATCAGTTTGCAATAAGTTTCAAATGTTCTGCATAAAATTTCTAAAATAACATGCAAGATTTTGAATGAACAAAATTCAATATGGTTAATTAAAGAAAAACTCACCTGAAAGCAAAAGGTAAACAGTCTTTTGTCTATTTCCCAACTAGTCTATGCTGAACCAGTTATTTGGAGGAGGAGATAAAAATTGTTTCATTCTTTCTGAATTATCATTTTGTTGGCTTAGAACAATTAGTCTCATTTGATAACTCAGACTATTTTAAGTGTTGAAAGAATAACATAATAAGTTGAATTCAAATACCATAACATTTTTTATATAATCACTTCATTGTTTCAATATTCTTAGATTACAATGCATTTGATATCAACTCACCTTGCTTTATCTGCCCTCTCTTTAAGTCTACGAGCTCGATTTAAGTCATCATTTGTCTCGTTAAGAATCTTTTCTATATCGGTCAGTCCTTTAACTGTAGCGTTAATCTGAGCAGCCAAATCTCTAATTTGCTTGGGGGTCAGTGAAATGCTAATGGCCAATGTCTCTTCGGCAAGCTGAAAGACAAGACAAGACAAGACAAGACATGAACAAATTAGATTTTGTTTCCTGCTGATAACCTGATAAACAAAATTTGGTGGAAATTCACATTTTGTTTAAGGTATTAATGATCATTTTGAATATTGAAGGTGTTCAATTAGTGTAACCTAATGCATTAGCTTACACTGACTCACATTTTGATCTGCAAATTTTCATTCAATGAGACTTCATGTAATCATTTACCTTTTTTTTTTACCTTGTTGTTGTAGCATACCTACAGATGATAATGGGTATGTCCCCATTCACATAAATACAGTAGTAAATACTGAATGTTGGTCAGCAGTTGGTTTGGTTTGTTTTACGACAAATCAACCTCAATGTGTCATTTAATGCAGACAACTTTTTTTTTGCCTGGTAATATTTTTGTTTTGTCAAAAATCTATTTCTTGTAATTTTTTTTCCTCAAAATTGTATAACTGATAATACTATTTTCAAAAATGTATTGCTGGTTATAGTTTTTTTTTTTTTTTAAATCTATTTCTGGTAATAATTTTTTACAAAGTATTTGTAGTATTTTTACATTTTTATAATGCTTTTTACCTCAGTTTTGTGGTTAACTATTTACCCATAACTGGGACCCTAACAGGTGCTACCACCCGAGGTCAAGGTGGACCTGGGAACACAAGCAATTAAGCGGTGGTTCCATGTTCCTCAAAGACTCCTGATCAGAGGCCTTGCTGTTTGACGTAGTTTATCGTCATACCCAGGATGGTGGTCTGCAGTTGGAGATTCGTTCTTTGCTTCAGTAGACTGATGTGTGTTGGTCCAGCTTGTGTGTTCAATTTTGCCTGAACTGTTAAGTTTCTGATGTTTAATTTCTTGAAACTTTTTTAATTTTTCAGTTTTTCCTGTTTTAGTTTTGTGCATATTTATTTGTGTACTTTTCTCTTTTAAAGACAACAAATTTTTAACTATACCTGAGGCTCTCAATGCCGTAATCCCATGTATAGTATTCTTGCTGACTTCCAATGTTAAAACATGGAAATTAGTTGGGGTCAGCAGGGAAAGCATGGAAGAAACGTTGAAGGTGTTACAGATCAGTCCAAAGGTACTCACTCACAGAACGAATGCTTTAGAGGATATTCTCCTACAGATGAAACAGCAGGCCAAGGAACTAGCAGGAAGTGTCTTGAACACACAGACCCTACACCTACAGACAGAGTACATGGGCACCTGTAGGACAAAAGTTACCATCCATGGGGTGCCCATAGACATATCTGACAACAGGGACCTTTTTCACCAAATACAGCAAAGTAAACTAAATAAAGGCCCTCATTAGTAAAGCTGGCATAACGACAGGAGACCGCATTGCTGTTCATGTGGAGCTTCAGGGTGCATGACAAAGATGTATCCTGGTAAACATGTACAATCCCCACCTTGTTCAGCAGCAACAGTACAAGCCAATCAGAGGAGGGAACATAAAACACTGATGGCACCTGGAAGGAGGTAAGAAGAAGCAGGAAATCGTCAAACATTCTGTCTCCTTCAAGACAAGAGGTACCTCAACCAAAGTGGCAACCACCACAGCAGGAGTGGGGCCAGAGAAGCAGCCACACCAAAAACAACAACAAAGAAAGCAGCAGCAGATAGACATGCCAATGCAGGTGGAGAAAATGCCCTCCACCTCATGCAGTGTCATTAAAAAGGAGCAGAGAAGAAGACAAGCTACAGCAAAGGCACTCTGGCTGTAGTAGGGCGGAGAGGGTCATGGACAAATCCAGGTCACTCTCCGTCTCGCCAAAAGCAAGGAGCCACCCTACTTCCCCCTTCTCCGTCCCCCTCAGTTCAGAATCTACACCCCCTCACATGTCCACTTCTTCCCCTCCTCTCCTGAAGGAAGAAAAAGAAAATGTTCCCAGGCTCAGAATCCATATGTAAGGTGGACAAAGACATCAAAAAGCCTCTGTCCAAACATAAAAAAGGTCCTTTTAGGGTTATTGTTTAAAATGGACACAGTGGATTGAAAGTCAATCAAGTATCCCTGAAATTTTCCATACACCCCAGAAGTCATCACCTGGAGCCACTTATTTGAGGCAAAAGAAGCTTACCCCAAAATAAGGGTTTTTGAACTTGAGAATTCAAACTTGAAGAAACTTAGACATTTTTGTGCTGGGAAGGTCCTTGTTTTGCTCTATCCCTCTTTATATAGGGCAGTCAAGCTAACTTACCCGATAGACATTGGCAAGATTGTCCTGGATGGTCAGATGATGACAGAGTTGGGCACAGAGAACCTTGAACAATCTTCCAGAGTCCTTTCTTTCGCAGAATTCCACCCAGTATGTGAGTAGGTTAATTCATTCTGAGTCGTTGCAGTTTATGCGCCCAACAACCAGGAGGAGCAGGTCACATTTTTTTCGGTGATTGGGGCCATTTCTGATGGATTCAACGTGCGTAGTCTTTAATGGGTGACTGGAATGCCATCCTGGACCCCAAGTTAGAGAGGGGTGGGGAGCTAGAGGGAGAAGGAGCAATCGTAGTTTAGTTGCTTTGATCAATGAGTTTGGTCTCATCAATAGATACCAGGTCGATCACCCCAGTTGGAAGATGTGAATGTGGGTTCTTAACTGGCCTTCTACCCAGGTGGTTAGCTACCTGGATAGAATGTTAGAGGAGCAGCTATAGATTTACTAGCTTGTCCTACGTTCCACTAGTTAGCCTATTTGGACCACAAACTCTTTTATGCCCGGATGGCATTAGATTGTAGGCTTAGAATGGCTGGCTACTGGAAGTTCAATCTGTCTTTACTGGACAGGTGGGACTTCCAGAAACATCTAATTAGCCTAGTGCAGTGGGAACTAGTGGGGGCAGTTATCAGGAATAGGAGGTGGGAGAGACTTAAAAATAGGATTAGGATAAGGCTAATAAGGTGAAGGCTCTTAAGGATAGTCTTTCCCAGGCAGTGGCTGGGAGGGGGGGATTCCCTAGAGATAGCCTTAGCTAGGGAGGCCCTGGAGCATTTGACTAATGAGTGCTACATGAACCAGGTAATCAGACATAAGTTAAGCAAGATGTCTTTTGAAGCTGTGAATATGGGTGCAGAATTGTGTCAGAAGGGATACCTCGAGGTCCCGGTTGCTACATTCGTGAGGTCAAAACCCAGGACGAACATACTCTTCAGGCCACTGACGACATGTGCGCATTTTGAGAGCCAGTTTACCAAGGAGCCTGGTCTCTGTGACGACAAGTTTCATAGATATTTGGCTGGGAATGCCACTCTTGGAGAGCCACAAACTTGCCTCAAGGCTGGCTTCCCTACACCAGTCATTGACAGGAAAATCAATTATGGCAGGGGCTGTAAGGGATACCTTCCCTTTCCTTACTATCAGTCCTCCCATCTCATGGGTTGAGTGCCATCATAAACCCCAGAATCAATCAGTTTTCCTTCACGAGTGTCGATCGGCCTTGCAAGCCATTCCTCAGTCCTCATCCGAAGAGAGTCTTCTATCAAGGGATAGTGGAGGGGCCTGCAAAGGATCCACTATGCGAGCAGCTCGGCTTGTTAGAGGAGGGGCAGATTACCTCAGCAACTCTGAGTTTTCACTTAGCTTGTTCCGAATCAGTTACCAGGTATCTCTCAATAACTGGAACTTCATATGAGGCTTGACGGATTTGCCAGACTGTGAACGATGTGACCTTGGCATAGAGGAAATGGCTTTGCATGCCTTCTACCATTGTCCTCAGGTCTGCCCCTATGGGACCATGTTGGCGAGTTGATGGCTTGTGTTGTCCCCATATTCTGGGGTGAAATGAATGGTGTTTCTAATGCTGATGGCCACTGCCTGAATGGTGATCTGGGCAATGTGACAAGAGGAAGTCTTGTGAGGCAACTGTTTTTCTCGTCAGGATCTGATCTGATTCTTTGAGCATCAGCTCAAGATGAATATTCGAACTGATAGAAAACACTTGCATTCAACAGACTTTAGTAAAAGATGGGTGACTGAGGCAAGCTTGGCTCGTTTGAACGGGTTTAGCCTTGATTTTCTCTTTTAGGTCAACCTATATCACATCAGGGTGGTTTCCTGTGGTGGGTGCCCACCCCTGGTTCGGCTTTGTGTACCTAGTTAATGTGAATGTTGTTCCTGGCCTGCTCCCGGCTACATATTTAGTTAGATTCCCAACCTCCCATTTGTTTTAGCCTTAATTGCGACGGGTCAACTTTATATATTTTCCCCTTTCCCTCTCCCTTAGCGAGAGAGCCTCTTGATTTTGTCCAAATGGGCAGAATACAGCGGCCTGCCTCTCTTTTTTGAGGCTTGGACAGGTCTTACTAACATCAGTTATGTTTAGTTTGTGTTGATATTCAGTTTATTTTGGGGTCCATCGCTTCCTCTCTCATTGTCAATCATTAGAATTTTATCTATGAAATATTTATTATCACCAAATTTCTAAATCTCGCGGTGAGTTTTGTAGGTCCTCCCACCTGAGAGGGTGTGGCATTTTGGTATATGGAGGATAGATTGATGACGGATGAGTTCTTATGGTGAATGGGTTGTGAATCAGATTAGCTAGATATAAGATAGTCAGTGAAGACCCGTTTCAACCCATTCCCCCCTTTTCTGCCATAATTGTATTTATTTCAATAAATATACTGCAGGTGGAGATTCATCTCCAGCTGTGCTGGTCAAACTCTGTCTCTTTTATCCCCAGATGAGGCTATTGAATGGCAGTTTTTTTTTTTTTTTTTTTTATGGGGCACATCCGGACCCCACATTAAATTCAGCCTTGTGCCACAGATATCCATGTGGGGCAGTTGGAGATTCATTGGAGATTCATTGTAGAATTCACTTGACTCACTTCTAGTAGTTGACTACTACTCTTATGCACAGCTGGCGAATCTTATGTGTGTTGTTCTTGTCCTAAGTATTATCATTCATTACCAACCTTCGTTTGATTATTCTATTCAGTAACCTTCCCTAGGTTACAACACTTGTCATTATCAGAAAGAGGAGTATTTATTTATTTATTTATTTATTTTTTTAAATCAGAAACAAATTTTCAAATGACCATCTTTCAAGTGAAATGGATATTCTATCAGGTTTGTTTAAATGAAAAAGTTTCCAGGCTTTTTTCTTTTTTGACAAAATACTATATTCCAATAAAATCATAGCATCCTTATTCATTCTCAAAATATTCTCTTTCCATAATCATTTATAAAGCAAAGTGATACTGGCTTTGATTGAAAGGCATTTTCGTATACTATGAATTTATTAGAAACACTAAAACAGTGACGTGTGCTATAAAAACAAGTGAGAAACTGAAAGACATACATGGAGAATAATAAATCATATGTAAAAAGAATAGTTTTTAATTGCTTATTGAATTTTAAAAAAAAAAAAAAACATTTTTCATACATCGTCATGTTAAAAAAAATGCCACAGTTCAAACATTACAATTTGTTCAGATTTTGGTAATTTGTTCTCTCCCTTACCAGCAGATTTTGTTAAGACTGTCCTAATTTTTTTTTTTTTTTAGAATCTTATAAATCCATTTCTTCATTGCAATTTTGATGAAACTGTCCAAAACAGACTGGTTAACACTTAAAATAACCAAATACGACTGGTTTGTTGATTCAGAGAAAAGTGAATGTTTTATGAATATTTTTTTCCAACTTCTAAATTTATCTTTGTGCAATCAGTCAAATGAAGTATGTTGTTTACAATCAATTAAAATGTCCCTGAGGCTTCAAACTGGTTAAGATTTCTTTAAATTTTATGAAAAAAGATGACAAATCATAACTTCAAAGAACTACTTCCTGAAACAAAGATTTATAGATTTACAGTTTGAAAAAAATTACAACACAAAAGTTTGCCAATTGTCTCTAGCTTAAAAAAAAAAAATCCACAAATTTACAAATAAAAACTTTCTTTTCCTGATATAAATTCTCTTTTGGTGTAAAAAATGTCAAAAAAAAAATGACAATTCTAAAACACTAAAAACCTGATTGTTTTTCGTTTTATGTTAGATATCAAAAATCTTTTAAATTTTGAAATTTTTGGTGTAAAAAATTTTCAAAAAAAAAAAAAAACTAATACAACAGTTACACAGGAAAGGATTGGTTATTTGAAATTTAATCAGATTACTATATATTTTATAAAAAAAAAAAGAGAAAAAAATAAAATAAAAAACATTTTTGATTTGATGCTACAGAATAGGTTTTTAAATCCACATTAATAAAACAATTAAGTTTTTTGAAATTTGCTTTAAGAAAAAAGGACTTTTGAAGAAAAAAAAAACTTCTTTAATCTTAATCCACAAAGTGTTCATATTTTTTATAAAAATGCTAAACTCATCATTCCAACAATTTTATTTAAAGGGTGGAAAATGGTTTAAGAAACTTGCCTTTCGGATATTTATAGGTTTCAGTTTGATTAGAAGGAAGGATCCAATATCTAAAAAAAAATGTCTCAATTTTAAAACAGTTGTTTGGATTCTTTTTTGGCTTTCAAAGTTTTGTTAAAAAAAAGACTGAACTTATTTTTTTTTCATTTTGAAAATTCTGCCTTTGTCCTTCAAAAAAATAAAAAAAATTAAATCATTTGAACTCCTTAAAAAAAAAAAATCGTTGGTTATTAAAATCATAGCTTTAATTTCCATTAAAAAACAATGTTTGTCAAGAACATTTACTAAATTTGGAGTTTACTTTTAATATCAGATTATTAAATGATTGATTATTTGTTTGCCAACTGCACCCCAAAAGAATTAGTCATTTCAAAAATTCAAGAATTTGATTTTATTAAAAAAATAAATGAAAAATAAATAAATTATTTTTTTAATAAAAAAAATTTTTTTAGAATATTTTGAAATTTAAAATAATTTTTTTTATTTTAATTGAATGTTCATTAAAAAAAAGCAAGATTTATGAAAAACATTTCAAATTTTTTATTTTTCATTTTTTAATTATATTTAATATTTATTGATATAACTGCAAAAAAACTGAGCCTGTCAAACATGGATAGGGGGAAATATTTGATTAATTTTTGAATTTTAAATTGGATTTTTTCTTACAAAGTTTCAAAATAACCTGTATTTTGTAAAATGAAAAAAAAAACAAAATAAATTTATCATCAGTTGTTTTTTTATTTCTAACGTTTATCAGAACAGGGATATTGCAATTTAAATTTATGAATGTAGTGGAAAAAAGTTGTTTTTTTTTTTGAAAATTTCTTTTTAATTTCTAAAAATTTAAATTGATTGAATTTTAAATGGTTTATTGAGATTGAAAAAGGAAATATATGATCAACAGTAAAAAAGAAAAAAAAATTTAAATTTTATAAAAGTGTTGTTATTTTTTTATCCAAAAATGTTCTTGGATTATTTGTAATATTTCTTTGATATTTAGATTTTTTTTTTTGCTTCATTAGCAAGTTCCAAATTTTCAAATGACTTATTGCTTTGAATTTTTATAATTCCACAAAACCACCACAGTAACTTGTCACAAAGAACATTCCAAATAGTGTTGACCATGATTTGTCACCTTTATCCACAAAAACAAAAGAAAAAACAAAAACAACAAAATAAAAAAATTAATAAATATATTTTGGAAAATATCAATTTTGGGGGGAAACACTTTGATGAAATATTTAAAATTTGGGATTGTATTTTCATAATCTAATGAAAGGAGAATGCAATTTCATAAACAGGAATAGAGATCTGGTAGTCATTTGAAATGACCAAAAGGATTTTATATAAGTAAAAGAAACTTATGGAGAAAAGAGTCAAAAACAATGAGGAATGGAGATTTTAATTTAGATTAATAGTTAAAAACAACCAGCAAAAGGTGATGAGGCAGATGAGATTAAAAGCAGAAACATGAAAGAGGAAACAAAAAAAAAAATAACGTATAAATCCAAGGTATCCTTACCATTTCGTTAATATCCATCAATTTATCATCCAATTTAGCCATTTTTTTTGTAAGTTTCAAATCAAGTTTTTTTTTTTTTTAAATTTTCCTCCAAGCCTTTGTCAAAGGAATCCTTCCGATTTGAGATGAGCTCATCCAGTTCAAAGATTCATTAAGGAAGAAAAAAATTTCAGCAACAGATTAAATGTGAGTAACCAAATTCTTTGCCATCTCAGATTTTTCCTTAGCTTCTTGAGTGATATTGTAAGCACCTAAAATTAAAAAAAAAAGAAAAAAATCTGTACAGTTTTTTTTAACTTTGTTATTTTTAAAATGGTAAGCATTGGTTCCAACTAGTTTGTCAATTTTTTGAAACCTAAGTACAGATTTGCATGTCAATATCCATCATGTACAAATACTGATATTATTTTTATGAAGGTAACCTCAACTTTGACTATAAAACCCACATATTTTTAGGAGTCATTTATTTTACTAAATAAATGTGGATTCTTATTTACATTATTGACACGCAGATTATTATCCTTTTCTTTGTTGTTATTATTACAATGTTTTATATTCATGTGCCTATATATTTTATCAGGTATTTTTATCTTCTTTATGAATCTTTAGGAAATTTTTTTTTGAACCCTTAATCTACAGGAATACATTGATCTTGTTACATTGTTCCATGTCCACTGATAGTTAATTTTTTAATATTACTCAGTTATTGCTCACTCCATTTTGATTGAATCCAAATACATACTGCCCAGCCCAGGGTTTGAACTTTCAATGATGATGAAATATTAGGTGGACTTTTATTTTGATGTTTGATATTGAATTGGATGAAAAATTTATTTACAGAACAGAAGAACAAATTGAAATGATTTAGTGGCAATTAGGAATTATGAATAGCATCAAGAAAAAGATTATTTTGACGTAGTATTTACTAAAAATGAATTCTTAAAAGATGACAATACATATAAAGAAAAGTGTGGGAATTTGATTTCCAGATAAAAAAAAAAAAAAATAAAGAATTTCAATTTATTTCAGCTCAAATATATGGATTATCAAGTTTATTTTTTTCAATTCCAATACAATGTGACAAAAGAACAAAGACAAACAACTAAAATTATACTAAACGAACCATATAAATTTGGCATGCCATAGTGTTTCATGCCAGCAAAGAAAAAATGGAAAGATATTAACATTAACAGAAGTTATAATCATATTGGGTATGATAGGATATTGAGGTCAAACAGAAAATAATCACAATCAAAACTACATTCAGGACATATAAATATATATTTAAAAAAACAGTTAAAATATATATATATATATATATATATATATATATTAATATATATTTTTTAATGTTTTTTTTTTTTTGTTTATAGATTCAAATATTTAAGTAAATGCTCTGTTTATGATAAACAGTATTAACAACATTTACCAGCCTGAATGTTTATAATGTATGTTTATATTTCTCGGACAGAGCATTTTCTTAAATATTTGTATCTATAAAAAGAACATATAAACATAAAAATGTCTTTAAAATAATTGTCAATTTTTTGTCCATTTCATAAATGTGAACATTTGTTTACATTTGGATACAAATGAGCAGATAAGAATGAACGAGAGAAAGTCATGGAGAATTGTGTTTAAAAACAGTAAAATTGACCTTGCTAATCGAACGCTCCTCCGTGGCTCAATAGGTAAAAGCACGTCAGGCTATATTACGGTTCCATATAGAATACGAGTTTGATTCCTGTTGGAGGACACATATTTTCTATGAAAATTTCTTGGACATTCAGGCCGGTAAATGTTGTTTAATACTGTTTATTATAAACAGAGCATTTACTTAAATATTTGTATCTTAAAAAGAACATATAAACATAAAAAAAAAAAAAAAAGTCTTAAATAATTGTCGGACTTTGGACAAATACATTATGAAATGGACAATGCTGATCTTCTTGCAAAATGCAACATTGGTGGAACTGAAGCTTTCCTGATGCAGTCATAACTTTGCTGGACTGATCATGTTACAAGGATGAGTAACAACAGAATACTTAAGGTGCTTCATGTGTCGCCAGCTTGGGAGTGGACAAAGGACATTTGGACAGTCGTGGCTCAGGTACAAAGACAAGCTAAAGAGTAATCTCTCAGCTGTCAATATGCTTCATACTAATTTTGAATGAGTAATCCTGGATAGAAATAACTGGAGATAATTTTGAAATCAGTTATATTGACTGAGATGAAAGACAACAGTGAAAAGCAGTAGAAAATATTCCTGCAACTTTATGTGAACTTGTATGCATGTCACTGGCAGGACTGAAGTGTTACATATGGCACAAATATAAAATGAATGAGGTTTTGATACACATTCTTATATCAATCCACATAAACAAACATTTGCATATTATGTGTGTGAAAAATAAACATTCATAATACTTTATAAGAAAATTAAATAAATTTAAATATGCATGACACAACATATTTATATAATTCACTACACTAGAACATTTTTTTTTATAAACACATTTTCACCTTTCAAGTAGTTATGTGCCACATAACTTGATGGTAAATAAATAAATGCATGCTGATTTGCTGCTGTTATGCATTTCAAAATAAATGCGAGGAAGAAACAAGTATGTACGATAAAAAGCTTATTTTGAAAAAGACTACAGGTATTTTAAGCTATTACTCCAAATTTTCAGGCAATGTGTTAACTATGAAGCCCAGTGGAACAATAAACCTTCTTTTACCATCTTTAAAGACAAATTAAAATATGCAATTAATAAAATTTGATAACATTGTTATCCCTTATCATTTAGTATCATGAACTACTTTTAAAAGAAATTGAAAAGATTTAAAGGTCATTTAGTAAACAGTTAAACTAATAAATGTTAAGATTAAAAATAAAATCTATTAATTCTTTAGAAATCATTTTATATTATAAAAATCAACAATAAGATGAACAAAAAAAAAATTTATAATTAATAATTGTAAATAAATTGAATTTTGTGCCCTTAAGTATTTTTCCTGTTTTCCATTTCTACTGATAAAGTTCTAAAGATTGCTTTAAATACCTTCAAAGTCTCTTTCTTTTATGCTTTGAGCACTTTTGTTCAGTCTTTCAGCTTCTTCTCTTAGTTCTCCAATTCGCAGCTGAAGGGCTGCCAATTTATTCCTGTAAGTGAGGACATCACTGGATGTATTCTCTAAATTCTTTTCAGTGTTGGTTACCAGCCGAGAATTTGTGGTCAAATTCCTCCTGAAAGTCAAATTAAAAGGTTAATAATTTTTTTTTTTTTCTAAAATATACACCCAACTTTGGGAACACATTCTATTTGCAGAACCTTTTCTCTCCATACATCCTAAAACAATATCTCATACAAATTTAATAACATTTTTGAAAGGAATGAAATCTCCCCCACACTCTATATTTGGTTCCCATAATGTCAAATAATAAAACCCAGATAAATGAAGACAAAGAGATGTGAACAATGAATTGTAAGAACTCCTATATTGATGAGCCTGTTTCACTAATAAACACAATAAGTCTAATTTCTTATCTATTTCTCTTTAGTCACTTATTACACTAGAAAACCTTTCACTATTTACATTTCACAAGTGAAATTGCAAAAATAAATAAAAATAAAACAAAGAAAAACTTTTTTTTCTTCGGAAATGTATTTTTTGACAAAAACAAATTTAATATGTTAATTTATTCCAATAAAAATATTTTTATTTAAACTTTTTCATAGTATTGCAAAAGATGGAATCTAAGTGAAAAAAAAAAAAATTCTCTCTCTCAGATTCAACATTTCCTGTTTTATCTTTCTTTCTTCTCATGACATTTCTTTCCTCACCATGACAACAGAAGAATACATTTGTGTTTGCCATATTTAAAAAAAGGATAAAAAAGTAGAGAGAGAGTAAGAGACATTCTAAGCATGATCAAGAAAATAGTAATGGAATCAAACCTTTCAGACCAAATACTATTTTCCTTCTTAACCGTTTCTGCCACAGGAATCAATGAGTACAAACAATTCTTAATTCTTGCTCACTTTATTTAAAACATAAAAATGACAATATTCAAAAATAAAAGCCCAAAGAAATATTTAGAAAAAGATTTATCCAAATCTTTGAGTGACTCATGGATATTGGCATAATGAAGAGAAAAATCCAAATCTTTGAGTGACTCAAGGATATTGGCATAATGAAGAGAAAAAGTTAACAGCAATATTCTTAGATGGGTAAAAGTTACTTACTTGATGTTTTCCAGCATTTCAGACAATTGCTTCACGTTCTCAGATGAACCTCCAACAGCTTCAATGATCTGACGAACTTCATCAATATTTTCCTTCATTATGTTAAACTCTTTCTCAAATGCACCAGCTGCTCCAGTGACAGTGATGTTCGTAACTTTGTTTACAATATCCCGAGTATGGACTAAAAGAAAAAAAAATTGCAGGGGAAATTTAAACAGTGCAGAAACAAAATGATGTGCATGCCATTTTTTTTTTAGTTTCTCGTTAATACAGACGGTTCCCAAGTTATGACAACCTGTAATTCAGATCTTTGTGAGATGATCAATTATATGTGGATCAAGGTTATTATATTGTTGAAGAGACTGTTATAATGACTTGATGATTTCTCTGCACACACACCCATCCCCAACCAAGGAATTGCTGGTCTTACCTCAGTTTAGTATCAGTGAAAATGCCAGAAAATTGTAACATGTTAATTTTATAATAATCTTTATGCTAATTGTAATAAAAATGATCAAAGAAAGTTCTGATATAAATTTATGCCAAATTTACTACAATAAAACAAAGTGCCGCTTGTATTTACTGTTAATCTTGTTGATCGTCATACCTCAAAGAAAAAAAAAAATAGCTGACTTCTATAAAATACTGACATTAAATATCAGAACTAAATACAAAAAAGATTCAACTTATATCAGAACTGACAAAGTGGTTAGGACAGAATCATAACTCAAAAACTACTTGTATCTGTGGAGAAAGTTGTAATGAATTGTTCTTGTTGTGTATAGAATAGTACTTGTTTCCTGTAACCACACTTGTATCCAATTGATACTGTAAGAAAAACTTCTCATTACTTGAATGATAATATCTGTTTTTCACTATGTATCAAAATAATTTTGACTTGACTCACTAAATTGAGCCCTTCTGACGTCACTATGTAACAGTGTGGTAGCCTGGATAGTCATAATAATGATTGAAATGTTGTTTAGTGACTTGAGAGAATTAAGAATTTTAAGTGAAAATAAATATAGATTCCAATCTGGTCAACTAATCATCCTGATAGAAGTTTCAGTTTAAAAATATTAACCAGAACCTATAAAATGCTTGAAGTCAGTGGTGGTAGGGTTTGAACCCAAAATAAATCTAGTAACATTTAGTATATTGAAGAGTAAGCGTTCTCAAAGCAAATTTGTGGCTTTCACAACACAAAGAAAGAAAATCACGAGGCCTCATCCCATTGATGGCCGTGGTACGAACGAACATGTAGACACATACACAGCTCATGCTGATGAGAGGACAAATAAACAAAATTGAGAGAATGGCGTAATAAAGAAGGGATCTAAATATTTTAAGAGCCGTTCCCATCTTTGTCTGCACCAACTGTTGGACGGTCGACAGTGGAGCAGACAAAAGATGGACGTACTAACGGCTCTTAGATATATTCAGTACAACTGGATTTTCGCTACCCCACTGAAGTTCTGGTGACCAAAATTCTGCAAAACTCAGCCAAGTCTGGAAAGTGTTTATTGATCAAACTATTCAACCAAATTTACATTGGTCAGATTCCAGATTCAGACATTTTGGTAAGAACCAGAGTCACTTTTGAAAGGGTAACATCTGGTTAAAGGTATTTTTCAGTATAGATTACCTGGTTTCCTAAAATTAATGTTTTTGTGTGAAGATAACATTCATCAATGTCATTCCCCTGGACAAATATATTAGTCAAAAGCCAGCAGTTGCTTAGTTTGGACACAGTGAAAAATTCTGTGTTGCAGAGAAAACTCTTTTTATTCATCAAGATGAAGGAATCTCCAATACACAGAGATAAATGTTTAACCTTGCTGTTAACTTGCTCAGCACTTCAAGATCTTAGCAGAAATCAGTGATTATAAGCTTCGACAGCCTATGCTATTAAATTATCAGCAGTTTGTACATCTATGTTTATTTTTCTGTGATTTGTCTGCCTTTTGAGTAAGTCTCCAGATCAACAAAACCACGGACTAACTAGGATGACCAGGCAGATTCTTTGATAATCCTAATAGGTAAACATTGATAAAACACTAGATGATCACAGCCAGAGACCAGCAATGAGTAAAAACACTGAATGAATGAAAACAGCCATACCTGCAAAACATGACACCTCACTCAGTATTTGGTATCAGTGATGCTAAGAGTTGATATTTGGCACTGCAACTGATTATAACTCAAGAGTTAATCCTTTATACTCTAGCTATCACCAGAATGAAAGTGATGTAGTTGTCTTCATTCAAATATCTAAAACAAATGTAGTAGACTTTTGCTACAACCCCCTCATGATCAGTTTTATTTGTGAGGGGGGGAGGTAGAAAGACAAAAAAAGAGAATGTGACACAGAGTGGGATTGGAGGGAGGGAGGGGTCATCTTAGATAAAGGCAGTTGTTTGTAGTGAGGGGTTAAATCAAGTTTTGTAACCTAATGATCTGTTGAGGACATCTCACTTTTCTTATAAATATCTGGGAAAGGTCATGGGTCAAAAAGTACAGAGTGCAGCATTAACCCTTTCTTTGCCAATTATTTTAGTCTGAAAATGAAACATTTTTCCCAATTTTTTTATTTGTTTTTAAAGAACTAAACATATGAGTTGACAATTGAACTCATTTCAAGCTCAGAAAGGCCGAAAAAGAATCAAGATCGACTATAAACATGTCTGTAGCTGGTTTTTGGATGTGTTTATTCGTCCATGTCTAGAAAAGAATTTTTAGGAAAAAACGTATATACACGTCTATTTTACAGAAGGGGTTAAAAAATTTACATGGATCCTACTAGTAAAAATAATTGCTTACCGCTAAGGTCTTGGACTTCTTTGTCCCAGTTAGCAAAACATTCACCACAAGGTTTGCAGTTAGGGAGAGTGCCTGTAGTTCCCCGGGCACAGCGATCACAATTATGTCCTGCAACTCCAGGGACACAAGTACACTGACCAGTTCGACGGTCACACTGAGTTGATAAAGAGCCGACACGAGTGCAGTTGCAAGCTATAAGAAAAAAAAGAAAAAAAAATTTATAAATGAAATATACAAATTAAAGAACAGAACAGAACTTTGATGGCATATTAAACGCCCCACCCTCAACCCCAATCTTGTTTACATTCAATTTTACAGCATTATAAAATTAGGCAATGTACAAGTACTAGTAGTATATAGCATCTGGGTAGATATTAGCCTAAGAGATGTGCCTCAACTTTGCCTATAAGACCCTGGAGATAATTTTAAGCCATTTCTTGGCAAGAACAGTTGGTCAATCAAGCAGTGTATTTGAGAAAGTCTTATTTTATATTGCAAGAATGAATTAACATTACAAGAAAACACATAAGAAAAATTACAAAAGAAATCCCTTGTTAGGCTGAGAAGTTTCAGTATTTTGCTACCCACTTTATATCTATGTTAAGCACACATACATACATATATATATATATATATATATATATATATATATATATATATATATATATATAGTGTTTAACTTCAGACCCATGTTTTTTTTTTTAAATTTCATTTCTTATAAAACATAGATATGAGGTGGGTGGGGATGAAATTGTCCATAGTTATAATTGTCTTGAGCACTTTCAGCTACTTCTCTAACCATTATCAACAATATTTATTATATGAGATAGCAATATATATTTTTATATATTAAAAACAATATTAGCTAAAAATGTATGACAAAGTGGAAAAAGTTTTCTTGTGACGTGTTTCGTCCTTTAGGACTTCATCAGACTAAAAAAAAAAAATGTTAATTTCCAACATCCCATATATATATATATATATAAATAAAAGTTATAGGGATAGATAAATCAAACAACCAGATATAAGCAAGCACAGTATACGCATGTGCTGGGTGCATATGCGAGCAAGCAGATAAATAGTCATCAAATTTATACATGGGATGTAAACATAATAGTGCTCAATGTGGTTAGACAGAGCAAAGATATATATTAATTAGTACTGTAATCAAGCAAAATTTAAGTCACACACCAAAATGTAGGTACACGTATATGTACTAATTTATTTATATATATTGATTAGTGTGCAGCTTATAGTTTATTATTATTTATCTATATATATATATATATATATATATATATATAAAATATATGAATAAAGGGAAATTTTCAAAAGATTTGTGTTGAAGCTTAAATAAGTGAAAAATTAAATTTATAAACATTCCTTATTTGTTCCTTATTTTTATCATTATCGCCATTTAATCCATATTTAGTTTCAATTCATATTTATTTTATTTTTTTGCCTACATTATATCAATTTTAAAAATGTTCAACAAGCAGTGTGAAAAACATTCGTATATTAGAAAAATTATTTCTTCTATTTTCTTGGAACTGATAAGTTAATCGAGACTTTCCAAAAAGTGAAAAGTTCTATATTCATTTAAATCTATTAACATACAAAGTTTGAATGAGGTTTGCAGATTTGAAGCAAATTTTAAAAATTGTTTGCTTCAATTAAAAGTTATTTAAGATTGATATTTATTATTAATGTTAAAAGTGGAGGAGGACAATAGTAGATTGCAATTTCATCCTAATCTACAGTGGAAATAAGCAAAGAAATATTTCTGCATGCAGCCGTATTACAACATTAATACTGTCACAAGGCCAAGTACAAGAGTTACCTCCTCTTTAATTGGTCTGATTTTGTTTTCTCCCTTTATAGCTACTTACGATAACACTGGACAGAAGGATCTCCCCAGTAGTAATCTTCACAATCACCACAAGTACGACCACGACCAGCACATATTGCTGTAAGAAAATACAAAACATAAGTTTTCCTCAGAGGAAATGCAATTTTAGTTTAACAAAACAAACCTGAATTCGTAAAGCATGAATCGGCAAAAAAATCTCCTGATGACCAAGCATAGAAATAAATACAATATGGGAACCAGTAATAAGGAGTGCCAGAGAAAAGCAATGATAACAAAGTTGCAATATGAACTCTGGTAAAGACATGCAATGATAACAGCAAAAATTGCAATATGAGCACTGGGTAAAAATGATGCTGAAAACATTAGGTTTATAATACTAGAAGTTCATACCCAGATGTCCTCAAGGACACATGGCACAGTGGATAAAGGCGTTGGTTAGATCCAGTGACAGACCCAAAGAAGGTGAGTTCAATTCCTGGTTAAGGCAGTGGAGAACTTTCAGAATTAGCAGGAGATAACTGATAACTGACATCCATCAAACATGGCACGTGGAATTAGAACAGTCTACCCCAGTGATCGAAATAAAGGGTTCAGTTCGAAATTCCAACCACCTGAAGAAGGCCGGAGCGCAACAACAAAACGCCGAAACGTTGTGACAAATATGGCGACAAAGATGAGGACAATAGTCCGACTAATGTAAATACTGTACATAATACCTCATCTCAGAAATATAGACAAACTCTGAAAGATGTTTTTGTAAAAACTATTGCTTGCTGACTTAACCTTTCACTAACTTCATTGGCTCAAAACATTTGAATGCAACAAACATTTGATACAAACAGTTGGAATAATGTGCACTAAACTACTGATAAAACAATAAGTACACTGATGCAGCCATGCACATATAGACTGTAAAATTAACACATGAAGTAAAGAAACTGATAGCTGAGCTCATGATCACCAAACTGTTGTTGCCAGGGGTCAAGTGTTAAACAAAAAACTAAAAGTGTTGAGTTGTTTGAAAAATAGGCAAACAAAAGAGTAAAAGATAGAAATATTTATTTTATCTGAAACTCTTTCATGTAGAGAAAATTTTAAAGAATGTTCTTAACAGTCTCTGTAAATTATGAAGAAAAAGTTGAACTTACCCTTCTGGTAAATTAGCAAAATCAGTTAATTACACTGTCTATGCCATGTGCATCAGTTGCATGGAGTAATAACTTTTGAAAAAGAAAGTGAAAAGAAAAGTCTGGGTAACATTGAAATTTATAAAAGAAAACCTACATACCTTGAAAATCAGCATACAGAAATCTATTTTTGGATAAAGATGCAAATAGAGGGAAAACAAAATTGTTAACATTTCAACCATGAATTAGATTGGAATGATAAGGAAATATGAATGAAATACAAACAGCTAATAAGGGACAAACTATTTGAGATCAGTCGCTATCAACTGAGTAATTTAAATTAGTTGGATAGAAATTCCCAATAACATCACATACATAGTAACAATATTTGATTTTGGCATTTTTATTTTGAAAGTCATAAATTTTTAATCATCATAGAAAGCATTTGTATTTTATATTTTCAAAAAACTATTTCTGTTTTAATATTATTGAAACTAAGTAAGTAAAAATTATTTTAGATATTGTTTGCAAAGATCTCATCATTTTTTGCAATTGAAATGGCTCGACACAACAGTAAGTTCTTCACTAATGACTTTTTTATTACACTTCTCCCTCATGGAATTCTCTTCAGGCTTCTTGCTTCTCAGTCAACTTTCCAACTCAAAAATTTAAATGCAATATCAGTTATTATCTTCTGTCTACCTAATTCTTGTTCTTTTATTGTCCTCTCACCTTACTAGTATATTTTTCTCATATTCTCTAACACCCAGTTTCCCTTGCATCTTAGTGGCTTTATTGCCTTGCTTGGAGTAAAATGATTAAAAAAATGATTATATATAAAAACCAATCCCAGCTTAGAAATCACATTTTTATTTCCCTTGATGTAAAATTATTTTTACATTAAACAAACATCATGGGGAAGCAAACCATAGTAAATCTTGATATTTTTTACAAAAGCATGAAAACAAACATAAAAAATTTTTTTGCCTGAAGAAAAATTAAAGTCACAGGTGATGTCAAAGCCCTTGAAAAAACACATGAACCATAATAATCAGTATTCAGTTATATTGCCAGTCATCTTAGGTTTTAGTCTTTTCATGCTACATTTATAAATAATAGATAAAGACATGAAAAATTAATTGAGATGCTCTGCTTAAATTACATAGAATAAAAATGGTTGCTATATCCATTCTTGTTCATGACTGACACATTAATAATTGACTCTTATTACTTTAAATACAAACTTTTCAATTTATGCAGTAATATGTATGAACATTAAATTTATATCTATCTATCTATCTATCTATCTATCTATCTATCTATCTGCTAGCAGCATGGTGGCGGCATTGCCTGTGCTTGATTCAAAAATCGTAACGACTCATACAGCAATCGCTATCACTTGACTTAAAATATTTTTGCCCTTCCTTGCCTTTAAAGGAGTGCCCTTTGCCATGCTGATGTTGCTACATGCCTTACTTCTTGCCTATCTCACACTGCAAATTTTTCTAAGCTCGATTTTTTTGCATGCTAGCATGATAGTTAACATTCGTGTCAGTCAGCTGTTGGCTCTCACGCTGGCCAATAGAATCTTCCTGCCTATTCGAGGCAGCGAGATATAGGCTCTCACTCTGGCAAGTACAACATATTTGCAAACTACATGAAAACTGCCATAGAAGCATGAAAAAAATCGATTATTTACACTATCAATGGGAGTTGGGAAATGCAAAAGTGGGTCTTGGCCTTTCTGCTCATTTTAACATGTGCATCATAAATTTTGGTGCAAATCCGTTGAAAATTGCATGTGCATTCATTATACACACACACACACACACACATATCCTGCCTTTTATATATATATATATATATATATACTAAGTTTAATTTTATTATATGTCATTATTTTCACAGTAAAATTGATAATAACAAATCAATATTGGTAATATTTTCAGGATATATTTATATTCATATGATAAATATGTCAGGTGAATTGCAGCTTAGGACATTTTTACTAGAAATATTTACAATAAATTATTTGGTGACATGCTATTTTATTATGCAATTCAAGGGTTGTTCAACATATTGTAATAAATATGAATAGTTATTGATATTTATCTTTTTGATTTCTGATATATACGGATTGTTATGGTTCATAAGAAAGATTTAGCCTCAAAAATCAATGAGATATCGTAAAATTATTAAGTAATGGGAACAATATTTGAAATTACAAAAATTTGAACAAAAATCATAGAAGAGTGATAAAAGAAATTGAAAATATTGGAAAGATAAAACAAGAAAAAAACTATCTTTAAGGATATCAAAAAAGAATAGATTTGAGAAAAATTAAAAGTTTAATAAACACGAATACTGGATTTACTTCTAAGAATATATTTGAAGAAGTTACTGGTATGAATATGAAGAACATTGGTTAAAGACATGAATGCAACTAAACTACCTTTTTTAAATAGCCACAAAGGGGAACATACATGAAAATTGATCAATATTTATTTAGTGATGAATGTAGAGCTGAATAGGGTGGCTCTGATGGCTGGACTAGAAGTCAGGTTCTTCCTTGGAAATAATCAACCACGATAACTTTAAAAACAATGTTGGGGAGATGGTGTAATCTCTTGGATTACTAGTGAGTAAAATTATCATTCAAGGATGATTTCATCCAGATAAATGTAGAGAATTACTGGTGGTACAGTTCACAGTGAAGAAACTTTTAATCTAAAGAGTATCTTCAGGCAAGACAATGCTCCTTCACATTCTGTGCTTATATCCATATCACACTGAAACATTGGTTCACATCCAATCACCAAAGTTAAGCAACATCAAGCCTGGTCAGTAATCAGATATGTGACCACTTGGGAATACCAGGTGTTGTATGGGTGGTGTAATGGATATTGGCTCGGAATGGGAAAATGGAGAGCTGAGTTCCAATTGCACTCAGGTTCATTATATTCACTTATGTGCAAATACTCTTGGAAAGCTATGAATTCACCTCTTCTCCCCCACTACTAGCTTTGAGATAAATACTAGGACTTGTATCAAAAAATCATTATTATCTCCAAAACAATTTCTTACAATTCAAAAAATATAAATTTTGGTTTTAAATAACTAGCAAAAGGTTGATATGCCATAAAAACCTTAAAAAGAAAAAATCAATCAATCAATCCTTCACATTATGCAAAGTCAAAAATGGTTGCAAAGACATCAAATTAATGGAATGGTTTCCAGCCTATTCAGATATTAATCCAATAGATAATTTACAAGAATAATAAACAATATTCAAGTAAAGAATATCTATGGAAAACAATAAAAACTAGTGCAAATAATGCTAAATTTAAAACAGTATAAATGTTAACAAAATCAATGTATTTGCACACACACATACATATACACTGCTGGCCCAAAATCTTAAGGCCAATGAAAATAAAGAAAAAATATACCTTTTGCATTGTTAGACTCAGCCACTTATTTGAGTCGAGCTTCAAAAAATTCAAAAAAGAAAAGGAAAAATTAAAATTAAAAACTGTTTTAGCATTTAATGGGGAAAATTTGAATATTGGTTAATTAGGCTAAATACTAGCTGGTCAAATATTTAAGACCATATATAAATGAAGCTTTAATTGGTGAACACATGATGAAATTTAATCATCAAGCATTAGCACAGTCAACATCTCCCACTAGTATCACCTGCATTAAATTAGATAAAAATATGGCAAAGGCTAAAATGTTGACAGAGTTTGACATAAACAAACTAGAATTATTAAACACTTAGATATATAAAGCAATATTTATGGTTTTTCAGTTAGGCTTGGAATCCATTAATTTCTTGGAACTTTGAAAGGACATATTGTCTCTCCTTGTATTTGGTATGCCATAAATTATCATTATCATGTGTCGGCTGCAGTCAAGATCATGGTGTCCACAACACTATGCCAGACCTCCCAGTACTTCATTGCTGTCCCTAAGTCCTGCATACCAATGCCTATATTCCTTGAGATGATGTCAGGGAAGGATAGGTTTGACACAGGCTTCCAGAGTAAGAGTAAAGATACCTCATTCTCAGCACAGTGGCAGTGACCAGTAAACTGTGCTCGACAAGCTCATATCAGAGAGGAAACACGAGGAAGACTGCCGTAAATTTGGTCGATGGTCGGATGTCGTTTCCAAGTGAGGTTTTGATCTCTCATCTGAAGATGGGTGTAGGTTCCATCCAGACATTTCTCCATGCCATAAATTATACTAACATTTGTTTAACAGGTTGAATGCACATGAAACATGATTAACCACAACACAAAAAGAATTTCTTCTTGTATTTATCCCAACTCATATTTTCACACACACACACACACACATATTGTATGTAATTTTTTTAGCTTTATTGCTAAAAGAACTCATAGATATTGAAATATATCTGCAATTTTTTTTTATATATACAAAACCAAATAAATTCAAGCATTTTGATGTTCTTGCAATTATATTTTTTGATTGATAAACTGCAGAACTGTTTCAGCAAAATTAGAATTTTATAGTCATTTATCTATACTTAATTATCGGCTTTATCTCTGACCGATTTTTAAAGTCCCGGCAATCAATAACATTTGAAATGACAGTTCTGTTTCATTTATATTTTAATTAGTAAAGATATCTTTAGTGCCAATGGGTGAAATGTTAGAATTAAAAACTTACGAGTTTTTTATATTTCCTTATATAGTCAATGTTTTCATGAAAAATAATCTTTTGCATTCTTCTTTTTATATCAATTCAACGGAAGCAAGTCTTTGTCTTTTAGCCAGTTTGGGACTTGTCTTTGAAGCTTTACCAATAAATATTTCTTTTAATCTGTTATGATCCAGAATGATGATGATAGTTCATCATTCTAAAAAATATAAATAGCCATCAGTAATAATAGAAAATAAGGGATGTCATCATCCCTGAAATAAAGATGAAAAAATTTCATCATCCTAAAACAACCTTGCTACCAGGATGAAAAGGAGAAAGATATTTCATTGTTCTAAAATTTGATTATTAAAAAAGATCCTTCACCACAAGCAAGGGCAGTCAGTAGTGTAGGTTCAGTAGAGTAGAGTAGAAAGTGGCAGTAGCAGTAGTAAAATAATTCCATCACATATGTATCCTCAAACCTCCATCAAAATTGAAAACTGACAATGTAAACACTATCCTTAACAAACGAATTTCTCAGAACAAGCAAAAAAACAAATAAGTGCAAACTTTTAAAAAACAAACGAGACCGTAACACTGAGAACATTTTTTATCACACACTATACCAATCTCTGTAATTCACATCATGCAAAGAAAAATACACATTCTTGTCATTACTGTCAGTCTGTGTTTCAAATTTATTGATTATGTCATTGTTGTATGTTTTTATTTGTTTTTGTTTTCCAGTATATAAAAAGTTAAAAGATTCTTCTTCAACTACAAATAACAATGGGATAACTATTAAATCAACAACCGCATAATTCAACCTCATTACAAATCCCTCTCAAACAATTTACACCTTCACAAAGTAAAAATAATACAAACTCATTTATATTATATGAAAATTTTCTGTAATAATAAGATATTATTATATTTGTAGAATAGAAAGCATATTAGAATTAATGTCTTTGAAATTTGAATATAAATCCAGATAAAAGCAATTGTTTATAATATTTCAACTGTATTTAACAGAGAAATTATAATAACTTATAGGACGTTTCCTCAGGCATCTTTAAAAGTTATAAAAAGACCATAAATTGTTTTAGATATTTAATAACATAAAAATCAGATATATTTTTTACTGATGCTATCTTCACTGTTACCTTCAATTGTGCAGTGAAAAATTTATATCCTCTGTTCACTTTAGTGCATTGTTGATATATTTATATTGGAATCACATATAGATAGAGACAATATAAGAATTTATGGGTATATTTTGATTAACCAATTAAATGTCGAATCTGTACTTTAATGGAAAAGTAAGCTCAGAGGGTGGAGGTGGAAGTTATTTTCACTAACACTGTCAAGCCAGAGCAGCAGATGGGCCATCAGACTATTGTCCTCATCTTTGTTATTATAAGAGATTATAAAACATGTTGAAATCACTACACAAAAGTTTTCATGATTCAATACTTTTGATTGTACTTCATCAGGTGATGGTAAGTAACTGGTGATTAAATGATTTTTAAGAAAATTTCCAAAAGCAAAGTGTTTCATCTTTTCTGAAAGATAAAGTGGAGGGGGAACTGTGGGTCATCGTCTATTGCTCTCCCAGCAGTCACTTGTACAAATGTCAAATATCGCTGGTTCAATTCATATCTCGCTTTTAATTCCCTCTAATAACGTTTCTATCCTGTTTTTCATGGCTCCAGTACTCTTTCATCAGGCCAACACGTGGTTCCCCAATAATCAGCATTCTTGCTGTTATTCTCAGTTACACAGGCAAATTGCCTCCTCAGTTCGACCAATCAGCACCACGACTTGCTATTGGTGGAAGCATACGCCAAAGTGTACAAAAAACCTCATCATTACATACTGCTAGAATGGCCGGACAGGGAGAGTAATGCCAAACGAAACAAACTTGCTAATGTCACGTGCAGCACATTAAGGTAAGACCCTTATTTTCTATACACCAGATGCAAGCCACTCTGGCTCGCTTGCTTCTACGGAGCTGTTCACCACAAGAACATAAGGTCAGAATTGAAATTAGACTTGTGGGTGTGTCATGATTAACCAATTAAATGTCAGATCTATGCTCAATAGAAAAGTAAGCTCAGAGGGGGGGGGTTATTTTTTCATGATAAAACCTGAACATAGACTGGCCATCATTGACAATTGCAGAAAATATGTAAACAACAAATATGACATGTTCAATTTTTGAAAGGATGTTGAGGGGGGGGTTCAGGAGACGTAAAGTTAATTTCAAGAGAAAAAAAATTTTAAATCATTTTTGATTTGGGAAGCTTTCTAAAGGAACCTGTAGATAAAAATGTAGAACATCTATATAAGATATTAACTGGATGACAATACATAGCAATGTTAAAGCTGAATAAACAAAGAGTGTGGACCATTATTTACTAATAAATTATGGCTATAAGAAATAGTAATACATAATTTTTAAAATTTAACTATATTTCAAGGTAAAAGATATATTGTGTTGACAATTTACAGTTAATTCACTCATTTGGTTTAATAGGGATATTTATCAGCAAATTTGATAATTTCTAGTTTTTCATGTAAACATAAGAAGCAAGGTTCATTTAAAGATTTATAAGTTCTAAGTATTTTCCATTTTACTATAGAGGTTTTATTAACTTCTTTATATTTAGAAAGGGACTTCCTATTTTTGTACACATTATTGGGGAAAGATTATACATGTTGGTACCCCCTAGTTTTAAAGGAATTCTTGGTACTCCCAATATAATTTTTTTTTTTTACTGTTGGATTTTCTATAGTAGAAATAGTTATATATAATTTTAATGATTTTTTTTTTTTTTAAATAATTTTGTGTTTTAGACCATTTCTCTGGTTTCTGCTAAACATTTAGGTATAAATTGTCCAATGTTTGAGCACTTTCTGTTTTCATAAGTCATTACAAAAAGAAGTGAAATTTGAAAAAAAGATGAAATTGACAAAGCACAAACAACATTTTTGATAATTGGCTTATGAAAGCCAAAAGACTCAAACATTGAACAATTTGTACTTAAATATGTACCAGAAACCAAAGAAAATGTCCAAAACATAAAAAATACTTTTTTTAAAATCCTTTAAGAATTTCTATTGATGTTTAACCAAACTTTATAAACATAAAAATACATTATTTTCCTGTATATCAGGTTGAAAACTTTTGTGGTTTGACTCGTACAAATATATTAATTGTTCTAAAAATTGAAGGAATATTAATTTAAAAAGAAAAAATATTAGAGACAACAAAGATTACAAAAAACGACATCACTTAAAACAAAGATGAGAATATATGAATTCACAGAATAATGAGTTTTTATTGCAAATGCAGATTTTCTTCTTATTGGTTGGGCATCTGCCAACAAAAATGTCCGGAAAAAATCAGCAGCACCAAAATCAAATATTGGATCACAATGATCAGGACATGAACAAGACTTCCACATGGAACATACTCAGCCAAGACACTGGAAGCACAAACAGAGATGAATGACTTTCAAATGACGCTGTAATCACACTGCAATCCCGTTACATGGTCAACACAAATGCCTCTTTAGAAAATGTGCCTGCTTTTATGGAGCCTAAAACATGAGCAGTTGGCTAATAAAGGAATCATGTGCATAGCTAACACCGCTCAACTCAAACACTTTCTTTCTTCATACCCAGACATTCCAAGGTTCATGCCTGCCCTGTTACGGCACAGCAGTTATTTCCTGTCTTTCTACACTAAATGTTGTCTCTTTGACCAACAGACGCAGGGTATCAGTCATGGTTGGCTGCTCCATCTGCATTTCATTTCTGCTACATGTTTAATTTGCTACATGTTAATTTCTAAAATAGCTAAAAAAAATTAAAAGAAAAAAAAAAAAAGATATACTCACCTTTACAGTTTTGCTGTGTAGCATCCCCATAATATCCAGGTTTGCAGTGTTCACAGTTGAAGCCATCGGTGTTATAACGACACTTGATACATTCACCAGTGTTAGTATCACAACTTCCAGGTACAAGGTAATCAATGTTTCCATTACAGTCACATTGTTTACAGGTACCTGCTACGGGGTCACCAAAATAGTTCTCAGCACACCTGTCACAGTTGTTGCCTTGAAAATAAAACAAAAAATTATTCTAAAACTAATGACTTATACTGAAATTCCTAAAAGGAAACTGATTTTAGCACATGGAACTGTAATTAAAATATACATTTTAAAAATAGAGATTTGAATTTATCAAAAAACACATAATACAAAATCCTCAGTTACATACTAATGCAAGGTTATTTCACTTAGAATAATAATCAGCCCAGCATACTAATCTTGGAGACTATTGACAAGTAAATTTGATCTTTGCAGGTATTGTGATATTGTAGCTCTGTGCCAGAGTAAATTAACTAAATATCTGTGCTATACTAAATGAATGGAATTTTTAAATTTAACAAACTGGATTGTTCATACTGTCACACGTGCAACAAAAGAAATAAGATAGAGAAAAACAAATGAAATGACAGGAAAAGCAACTAAGTTTTATTAATAAACAAAAAAAAGGTTTTATTTTAATTTTAGTGATTTGGTCAGTGGCAAAAAATAGAGAAAACAAAGATTTACCAGCAAGAAGTTAGAAATACTTCAAAAATAACTTCAGTTGTGAGTTGCTTGGTTTTTGCGGTATAGTTTACATGTCAGGTCATTTATTGGTAGTAAACGGAAGCCTCTGAAGCAAATTTCTGTAACAACAGACTTTGTCACTTAACTTGCTTAGTTTTGGCACCAATCAACAAATAGGAATGAATAGCCAAATGAAAGACCTCCACTTGTAAGGTCAGCTGACCACATCAAAGAATTTTTTGAAGTCTTTTATCTAAATAACCCAGAAGTTTCATTCATGAAAATAGATTCTCTTAACAGTACAAACATGGTGCAGCCACTCCCCACTTAATGACTTACCTGTTCAATACCCTCACCCTCCTGTAGAATAATGACCAACTATAAAATCTCATAAAATAAAAATCGTGGTATGGCATTCCAGTTTTCAGATCACGTTTGGTGGCAACAATCAAACTCATTTTAAAACTGGTCCAACAAATGTTCTACTAGACTGACTTCCAGAGACATGGTTGGCTATTTCATGTAGGACACCCCACCAGAGAACATGGGACACCAGCCTCTCTTTGGGGGGGGGGGGCATGTGGGACACCAATTTCTTGGAAACGTAACTTTTGTAAACTGTATCATCATTTGTAAAGACAAAGTTTGAACCCTAGAGGCATACCACCGACAGGCTGCCCTCATCAAACTCAATGGTTTGGGAACATGTTAACTATGGTATACCTGTTGACAACTATCATTCTTGGTTGAGTGATTATACATTCATCACTGCTGACCATTGTTGCAATGTCCACTACACATCTGCTCAGTTTCATAACAGACGTGTTCTGAAATGCATTCCAAAAAAGTCAGTTGTGTACTAATGAAATACTCTTGTCCACCTGAAAGCTCATCAACATGTTTGAAGTGGGGTTGCAGTTGCATACTGACTGGTATACAACCAGACCTATTGATTGTAATTACAGACAGCAACATATAGAGCACCAGAACTGGCTTGTAATTTTCAATACCTCAAAAACTCAGCTGGTAACTTTTCATCTTCAACAAGGTGAATCTACATTCTCACCATTCACGATGAATGGTTACACTCTCAATTAGGCTACTTACTTTGACCCTCTTTAGGACACAAGTTCACCACAGACCTTAATCAGAACTCATGTATATGATCTCTCACTAAAGATGTAAAGATGCTGAGAAAATAGCCAGCTCCTTATACAGCTTCAGAAAGTACATGACTCCACTTGCCATGTTCTATAGTTACAAGAGTCAGAAGTTATCCTGTACCTTTTAGAATGTTAAAAAATAAAACATGAATGTATACAGTGGTTACAACCACAACTGGTTTGTGAGTTTATAGAAGTTATGGACTTTGGAAGTCACTTTACACATCCTGCCCAAATACGAACTTAAAAAAAAAAAGAAAAAAAAAAGTACAATATTTTCCACCCATGTACAGACAACATGTGTCAACACAAAAACTAGACCATTCATAACAAATACTGCAAGCAAAAACAGACACACCTTAATTTCAACATCCATAACCTACTGTGAATAGTTTATTTTAGAATTGACTTACATTCTTTTACAAACAGTATGATGGGAGATGATTTGTGCTTATACAAATACATGCAAAGGGAACTTCACCATGGAGCAATGGTTAGCATGCTGATCTTGCAGATCATTAATACTAAGTACAATCTTCATTGGGGATCCATAATTACAACTTTGTATGAAAACTAAGCTAAATTTTATAAGCTTGGCTTGCCATTTCTTAGTTGTCTAGTAACCAATTAGTACCAGGTAGCAAGTTCATTCTCACCATGTACCCCATATTTTAAAAGATATGAAATTATTTCTGTTTCATGCTTTTTAAAATATGAAATTTTTATAAGTTTCTCTCTGTATATGAGACACACATTGATAAGAAGAATTTGAAGACTATCTGACTTGTACTGGAGTCATTTAAAATTTTCAATGAATTTCACTTTGAATCATTTTCATAATTTCAAGCATTTTACAAAATATAAATACGTTAATAAACATATCTTTAGTAACCTTACAAACCATTTTAAAATTTCAAACTAATGACTATTAATTTAAAAACTGAGTACATTATATACAAATGACTTCCAATTGTTTATAAATATACACAATGAATATTTTCAATATGATTTAATGGAATAACCCGGCACCCTCATGAATAATTACACTATAGGTAGTAAGCACCTATAAAGTCGACTGTCTACAAGAGATGGGTGAGAAGAGGGAAGAATGAGAGAGAGACAACGCAAGCACATCCGACCTTCCAATTAGTGGCACTTACTACTAGATTGACCTGTGTGTATAACTGTACCGTATTTCATATTATACTGGTACTACCTTTCTTCTATCCAACTGGAGTTAAGTATTTATTCCCTTAGCACGGAATATAGGACAATTCCTTCATTGCCTAGTGATAAATACTGAATAGATTAAACATATAGCAAAAACTTAAGATCAAAAACCTGCAAAGAACATGTTAGCCTATAAACTTATTGAGTGACCTTATAGTTTTGCTTCATGTCGGGAATTAAAAAACATTTTTTTTTCTTAAAATAATTCTCACCAGCATAGCCCAAATGGCAGTGGCAAATAGCAGTTCGTTTTTGGAGGTCAAATGAACAGGTATCTGCACGTTGATTATCCTTGCCTGGACCATCAGGACAGAAACACGGCTGACAAGCAATGCGTCCAGTTACACGTGGATCTTGGTAATAACCAGTTGTACACCTGACAAAAGAAAAAAAAATAAACAGCCAAAATAATTAGAATGAATGAATGTCATTAGGTAGAAACTATGAAAGACAGAACAGCATCAAAAAACAGAAAAAACTCAGTTTTTATGGCAATTTCATCTTCATTCATTTGCATACATTGGGATCAGGATAAAAGTTCATGAAACTCTTCTCAATTAGAGCTGGAAATGAGAGAATACTCAAAGTAAAAACTACGATAATTACAAAGTAAAAAGACAATTGATCCATTCATTTCTTACAGCTTATCAACCCTTTGCACATTATTTTAAGCCAGAAAATATTATCAGATTGTTATTGAGAGAGAATAATGATTTGGTGATACAAGTCTTACTAATTAACTCATAGCTGGAGGGAGAAGAGGTGGATTCATATCCCAAGGGTATTTGCATGTAAGAGAATACAACAAACTCAACTCTGCTCTCTGATTAACATTTCTGAGCCATTATCCATTACACTACCCACACATCCAAGTTTACAGGACCTGGTATTCCAAAGCAGTCACCTATCTAGGAACTGACTAAGCTCAATGTTGCTTAACTTCAGTGATCATACAGGAACCGGTGTTTTAACATGATTTAGCCATAAGCGAAAGTAGAAAATGAAAAATAGAAAAATTTATGAATGTTATCAATATGCCCAAATTGAGAAAAATATTCAAAAATCATTTCTTCCATAGAATCAGAACCCAGGTACCCAAAACACACGAGAGGTGGCGACAAAAGAATCACAGCAGAATTAAAAAAAAAAAAAAGTCATGTCCAAATTGAGAAAAAAAAAAAAAAAAAAAAAAAATTGAAAAAAAGAAAAATTAAAAAAAAAAAAAAAAAATTATAAAAAGTTAAAAAATTCACATAAGAAAAATAAAACTTTTGATATGAAAGAAAGAATTACCTGTCACAGTACGGGCCAGATGTGAAATCTCTACAACCAATACAATGTCCATTAAGGTTGTCACAGGTGTCGGCCATATTGTTACACTCACATTTTCTACAACGAGGGAAGCCCCAGTATCCTTCCTCACATCGGTCACAAGCTCTGCCTTCAACATTTGGAATACACAGACAGCGGCCATAATCAGGCTCACAGAAGTTGTCACGCGAACCAGCTGCGTCACAATTACAAGCTGAAAATGGAAAACATCTCTATCAAATAAAAGTATTTCAATTCTGACAAATTATTTTCATGATTAATTTTTAATTAACTTTTTCATTTCTTACTTCTTTATCAAAAACATTCTAAATTGATAACTTTCTGATCCCTAGAGTAATTAGCATAAACCCAGAATGAAGCAGCTTCCAAGAAGACATGAACTTTCAATTCCCTATTCAAGTACTTTGGCTTTTGGAAATAAGACCTTAATCAATTTGGTCAGCAAATCAAGCCTCCAGCAAAACAAATCTACAGAACAGTGACATGAATGTAAAAACAATACAGATTTGGTAGACAGAGATGGTAATATGGCTAGAGATTTTAGCCCCATTTTGATATGGGTATTCAATACTAGTATTATCTTCTTTCTTTGACAATTACCCAGGACTACTTAGCATGAATGGACTGATCCATTCATTATAGTAAGGAGGGTAACTAACTCTTACCACAACAAAAATGAAGATGAACCAGAAATAATAATAGCAACAATGACAACAATACAATGTCAAAATTTATCACTTCAAACTAAAAAAAACAGGATTTCCTTTTCGAAATGTTTTACCAATTTAAAAAACTGATTAAGAAGAAATTACAGTAAGATAGAAAGATGAAAAAGTTCAGAAAGTAATCAAATTTTTTGTTAATTACTCATTTGAAATGGGATTAATACAAAGCCCTAATAAAAAAGAAAAAAAAAAAAGAAAAAAAGTAGAACAACAGAAGACTTACGTGAACATCCTGTAGGTCCAAAATTGTATGTTCCAGGTGCACACTGTTCACATCTACGACCAATGACATTCTCTTTGCATTTGCAATGGCCTCCATAAACATCACATTCAGAACTCTCAGAGCCAGTTGGATCGCAATCACAGTCTAGCATTAAAATAAAGAAAAATTAAAAAATTTGAAGAAAGAAAGAATTGAAAAAGAATTGCATAATTTCATGGTCTGACTTTTTCCAGTTCATTCTACCATTTTAAGTTTCTTCTATATAAAGTGTCCCTTCAGGATGTGGATAATCGTGGCTCTCCACAATTTCCTGTCTTTTGTAGGTCTTAGTAAAGTTTGCCTTTTTACTATCTATTCTAATCTCTTTTATTCTCAGACAATTTTCTATGTACAATGTGTGAAAGCACATGTGATACCCTTCCATCATTAGCTGCCAACCAGGGGAGGTAACACAGTTTCAGTGGCTAAGACAGTACTGCCACCCCTGGCACAACGAGAAACTTTTGCCACTGGACAGGGTATTGTTTTTCAGTGTAGACGTGTCAGTCTCTGTGATTTTTATGCAACTGTAAGTCAGATTTTCCAACATTGTTTTCAATAAAGGCATTTAATTTTTGATCGTTAAACAAAACACAATGTGCTCATAGTGGCTATTATCAATGACGTATAATGAAGGATAGATACATGTTTCATATCAGAAGTCGTACTGTGTTGCGACTATGGTTTTAATTAAATTTGTTTATTTTGGATCTTGACCTAATCCAACTCAAAGACTTCAGCTGTGCTCTGGCAATGATGTGAAGCATTCTTCAGGCAAATTAAGTGCAATGTTCTTCATTGTCATTATTTATGCCATAAACTTCGCTGAAGAAATGATTGATATTTTAACCTATTAAAAATTTATTAATTCCAGTATAAAGAATTTGTACACACATTCCAATCTCCACAAAATTCCTAATTCTAAAATATGTCTTTGTCACAAGAGTTTTAGAGAAGAGATTTATTACTGCAGTAAGTAAGTAAGTATATATATATATATATATATATTATAACTTTTTTATGGCCTCCAGCAAACAAAGTAAACAATGATTTATATGTGATTAAAAATTTTATTTTTTTTTATCTACAGACAAAACTGTTTCTTGTCTTTATTCAAAGCCATATGCTGACACCTGATGGAGAGGAGGAGTGGGGGGAAAGCTATAAAAAGGTAGATTACTCACTAATAGCTTGCAGGTGTAAGACTGAAGAAATACTGAAGAAGAGACGTTTACAGATATCAATAACTTTAGATTGAACAGCAGGATACTGGCTCTCAGCACATCTGTATCGGATATAATTATTCTTCAAGAATTGAGGCAACTGTGGACCTTGGAAAATTGGGATGCTGTCTGTGTTTGGTATAAGAACAATCTATAAGAAGAGAAAAATTAAACTTCAATTTTATAATGATAGTCTAATATATTAAAGGAAATTATTCAAGCAAAAATTGTACAGTTGAAAATTAAATGAAATGACTATTAAATTTAGTGTCTTTGTGATTGTTCTCTTAGAATGTGAACAATTATAAACTTTCTCAATTATTTAATTCACAATGCAGTCATGGCTTTTTTGCTGTGTTGAATAGTCACTAATTCTTTTTAGTTATTAAAATTTTTTTAATATTTATTACAAAAAAAGGAGACAATCTGCAGAGAGTAGAAAGCATAAAATTAAAATAAAAATGTTTCTAATTTTTATTAACAAGATTGTAGGTGAAAATTGGCATTGAGTAGCAAGATTTTTTGGTGAACAGAAAATTTCAGTGGTCTTTGCTTTTGTATTTACTGAAAAGTTCTAATTCTTACTTAATCAAAAAAAGTTAAACAGTATCAAATTCAGGTCTCTGCTTAGAACAGGTAACCACTTCAGATTAAGCAGCTTGTGGCGCCATAACACAGTAAGCAATAAAAGTTTTGAAAGAAGTGTATGCATGTTTTTTTTTATGGTGGTTTCATTTTGAAATTTGACGTTTATTAGGTCTTCTTTTTTTGGCTTTACATACTTAAGTCTAACTGCTTATAATGATAGAAAAAAATTCTAAATATGAAAATATATGGTAGAATGTATCAATGAATTTAGACTTCCATGACAGACCATTTTTAGCCATGAGTACATAAAAATGGTGTAGCATCCTGCAACCACTTTCTTATAAATGTCAAATTTTGTACATTTTTGTGCAAAAAAAGTGGAACAGAGAGTCTGCTCAGCTTAATAAATATTTTCAGGAAATATCAGCTTCTAATTGGTCAATAAACACACAAGTGGGTATTGCAATCCACCTACATACAAATATATTTTTCCAGCGTGACCAAGTTTTCCGCCAAGTTCTTTTGATCCTGTCACATGATTACATTATCTATAAATAGCAAACAGTTTGCATTTTCTTTTTTTTCCAAATTCCTGCAAAATGTAGTCCAAAAGAATTCTCGTCTTGACCATGCAGTCAGACGTTAAATAATATTTCACACATTCATGCACATATGTACAAACTTTTCCAAGTCTACATTACAAACATACAGAACATTTCCAAACATGCAACAAGAATTTGAACTTTGAAATATTCTTCTAAAAAAGTTTATTCAGCATTTTTGTTTTTATAATTAATCCAACTTTTGTGAGTTCTGATAAAATATTCCCAGTCAAAGAGACATAACGCCATAAGATTTTTAACTTCTACACATGTACATCAACACAGGAATAAATACAATGTTATGTTTTTTTAAAACCATTTTGTTCCTTCTTGTATTTCATGCTTTTGTGGTATTTTAGGTTTAATATAAATTGTGTGGTTATAATTAAACATCCGTAAAACAAACATCATTCCTTAACAAACAGACACCTACAATTTTCCATTCTTATTACTAAGTCTATAAATTATCTAATGTAAATCTGAATTTTGGGGCAAGAGAAACAACTAGACCTATACAATTTTGGTACATAATTTTATATAAAAAAGATAAAGTTCTGTTTTTCAATTTTTTTCATTAGACATAGTTTCTAGAAATAAAATATATTTTTGGTAATTAGTGCTATAAAAATACATTTTTCATATAAATGTAACAGGATTGGTGGGAAAATTATTGCTTAAAGCTTTTCCCTAAAGAAATAAACCCCAGGTTACAGAAATCAGAGCAAGTTGGTCCAAATATATTTAAGCATGCTACTAGATTGGCATTTAGGTCCCACTTTTTTACTTTTGAAATAATTAAATGTAACTGGAACTTAGAACAGTAACAGTTTCTTTTCTCACACTAAAAACCTAGTGGAACTCTCTTCTGTTTATTTAATGAGATATTCCGTACAATCTTCAAAATTTAAAGGCAAAATTGACACCATCTTCATCATTTTGAACCACATTTGATTTTATCATTAGCCTTAGAAGAGACAGGTTGATTATCCTGTCTTTTGTTTATTTTCTTTCAGGTTATCTTTTATGTGTACTAAAAAACTGAATTTTCTTGAAATGATGAAAAAAAAAAAAAAAAATTTTATAGTTTGGACTAAAACTGAGCAACAAGTTGATTCAAAATGAAAATAAAAAGGTTCCACTTATAAATAAATTTCAGGAATTGTTAATTCAAATTTTTAATAAAAATAATAAAAACTGGAGCAGAAAGATTGTGTAGCACCAAAATTCCAATATATTGAAGTTTTGAGGGAAAATTAAAATTTTCAAATCCTGGATTTTAAGAAAGCTTCAACACTGATTGCCAATCCTATCCTTTTAATTCAGAAATCAAGTTTAAGGCAAGATTTTTTTTGTCTTTAAATTAACAATGGATGTGTGGCACAATCTAAATTGACTTTGTTCAACATTAGTACCCTAATAGTATCCTAATCCAACCATAGTATATTAATGATAATTATTTGTTTGCAAACAGATATACCAATAAAAAATAAAATTCTAAAACAGTAAATTCAAACCCCAGAAACTTACAAAGTTATAATATTCAAAATTAAAATTTTTAAATTCCCAATTCTGTTTCAGTATAATTTGATAACAAATGTACCAAAAGTTCTGGAACAAATATCTAAACTGTCATTTACTTTAACAGAACTTTGTTGATTATCTGGACACTGGGGAAGGAGTGAGAAAATTATCTCCAAATGATTCAAAATCCCAGATAATTGATTATAGAAAAGAAATATGTAGGAAAAAAAAAAAAAATGGTAATTTTCAGAAAGGTGTATATGTTGTTAAGGGTCTATAATTACTAATTAATGATTGCTTGTCAGATTAGAAAGCAATATAAATGCTTTGATGTGGAACACATCACAACTTATCTGTTAAATTTCCAAATAATGATGACGGCCTGCATTTTATAAAAAAGGCATGATGGTGGCTTCACAACAGCATAATAAGAACCTAAATAAAATAAAGGTGGGGAGGTAATGAAATCAATCAATAGATTTTAATCACTGAAAAAGACTTTACCACATCTAATTTAGTTTCCAAGGAAGCAACAACTGATCTTAAAAAGAATTTACTAAGAACAACAAATTAAGAAGAAAGTTCCAGTTAAACATTTCCTCAAAGAGAATATACTTTGTAGGGAAAGACTTGTAGGAATGAACCTGAAAACTATAATCTTTTTTAAAGGTGTGATTCAAGTCATCGTAAATCACTTATCAACATGTCCACATCACATAAGCTTCATCCTATTTTTTATTCCTATCAAAGAAATGTAAAAAAAAAAAGATAAAACAATTGTGTTTGACATTAATATGTGGATAAAATATACCTAGATGAATTTTGAATGATATAAACTGAAAATTTTAAAGGTTTTGAATAAAAACTAAATGGTTTTATCCTGCCACATCTACAAAAAATTAAATATCAATTTTGCAAAAAGCAGAGAGGTAATAAAAAAACAGCTGTGGGATTTTTGGTGGAGAAGGAGTGAAAACCCATTTTAATAAAATATATTGTAGAGCCAGAGAGGTTCCACTAAAAACAAATTTGATATTTTTTCTCAGAAAAAGTATTTACCAGTAATAATAATAATAGGTGAATTCTGGACAGGTGTCAGTGATAACAAAAGTGCCCTACATAACAAAAGGTAAGAAATTATGTCTTGATTGAAGACACTATTGAACACTAATGTCTTACCATTATGTGGGAGGTATTTAATTCCATGAGGTTTCAGATTTTTTTTGTTACTGACAAATTTGATATAAAATAAAAAAATGTTTGAAGAATCAGAAAATTTAAAGTTTAATGCCATTTTTAAGTGTGAACAATTTTTAAAATGATTTAATTTTATTTTTTTTCATTTTTCCCCAGATTAATTTTTCACTCTGCAGAAAATTAAAAATGAAAATAAAATTGTGAACTTATGTCCCATGATTAATGCACTTCTGCTTCAGCTCCAAAGTTTAGTTACAAAAGAAACTGTTCTTATTTCATGGTGTTTTAGCATACAATTAAATTTTTTTTTGACGCTAATAACATTTTGGGGAGGTAGTTACTAAAACTCGATGAAAATTTAACCAAGAAAATGCCTACCTAAAGAAAAAAAAAAAAATCTTATTTTTATTGGAAAGGTAAGATCACATTATGTTCTTTTTCTAAAAAAGATGGGTGGAGTTCTCTGATCTGTTTCTTACCTGGTGGTAAACTTGTAGCTTTGTAGCCATCCTGGGGAATGCTGTTAGCACAAGGTCCATGAGGATCAACTGGTCCTGGTCTGTCAATGAGAACTCTGACATCTTCCCACCGGTCAGGCATCTGAAAATGAAATCATGATAAAAATAAAATACCAAAGGTTTAAAACAAGAAACTATTTCTTTATATACATAAGATACACAAATACTGTATTTCTTTGCATTAAAGATTTTTTTTTAAACCTGAATTTAAAAATTATCTATTGTCCTATGAGCTGAAAAATTTTTATAACTTATTTTTACTACTTTTTTGGTTAATTTATTAATCTTGATACCAAGAAATAATTTGTAGTGTGTGTCAAAATTAATTTATTAATCTTGATACCAAGAAATAATTTGTAGTGTGTGTCAAAAATTGAACCCTTAAAATTTACTATATACTAATGAAGCTTTAAGGCAAAATACAGCCAGTTACGATGCAATATCAATTTCTGTGTCCAATCTGTAATATATAATATTTAATGCAAATAAGATTTTGATATGCATACTAGCATATAAAAAAGGAAATGTTTTAGGTCCTAAAAATGTAAAAAGTATAGAAAAGATAATAAATTAAGTTTTTTTTTTTTATTAAGATTTAATACTTAAATAAGGCATAGCAATCTAAGACTGAATAAAAACAAACAGGGCAGCTTTTGGTAAATAAAGTTTAGACTACAAGTGCTAGGATCAATAAGATAGCAGTCAAAACCTGAAGAGTTTGAAAATAAAAGTTTAATTGGCAAGTGAACCATGTTCTTTTGCTTTTATATATATATATATATATATATATATATATATATATATATATAAAATACAGATATAGTTTTAAGGTCTGCTATATTTATGGGTTAAAGTGTTCAATATCAAGGATAGAGCATATGTAAATATAAAAGTGAACAGGTCAACACCCAGCGGCAACAGTTTGTTTCATGCTTAAATGCAATCGTCAGGCCATGTGCAGTGTGTTTTGGTTCAACTATTTATATATGCTGGTCAGTGGTGCGTTATGGGTAGGTCTATTATATTATTGGGCAGGTTTATTTTCCGAATTATTCTAGAGGCAATAGTAGAAATAATTGAGGATTTGTATGTAGTCTTGTGGTTATTTTTACAGTGTTATCTGTTAACTTTTTTATTATTTATTTATTTATTATTATTTTATTATCTGTTCTTGGTTGTTATTATTATGTTTACTTGTGTTTATCTATGCATTTGTAGTTTGTTAATTTACTTATTAATTTAGATTAATTTATTTCACTTATTTATTTTAATTTATTTTTATTTGTTTTTAGTTTTCAATTTTTAAGTAATGTAGTAAAAATTTGTTTTTGTGTCCATATTTTGAGATGAGTTCTGATTGTTTATTTAGTAGTTTGTCTGGGAAGGTAATTGTAGCAATTTTTCAATAAATAATGAAGATTGTCTTCATATTTTTTAATTTTAATTATAATAATTTATAAAGTTTTAAGTCTTAAAATTCTGTATTAATTTGTAGTGGTTAGGTGATATTGTTATAAAAAATGATATTTACTAATATTGAATGGAAAAGCTTACTGCAACTCAGTGACCACCAGTATTTAAAAATAATTTTTTTCTGTAGTTATAAATGTGCCAATTTTTGTAAATACGGATGTCTATAAACAACATTATCAGAAAATAAGTGTGGTAACTATAGGAAAGTTAAAATTTACTCGTAATTTTTTAACATTTCCTCAACAAGTGTCTTTGTATGTAAGGCTATAAAGCCAAAGTACCTAAAATTCAATAAAATTTTAGATTTACTTAGAATATTTTCCAAAATTTTTAAGATTACTGGGTAGTTAAAAAATTATATAAAAAGCTTTCACGTTGTATTCATCAAGCAATTTTTTCACTTAAGGGACCCTTTACTTAAAAATGCCAAATGTTAAGCTATTGATAAATCTATCAACACCTCATAAAAACACCAACCTCCATGTTAAAACAAAAATGATCGCTGTAATATTTGTTTTTAATTCATATTAATTAAACTTTAAATCAGATAATCTTCCTCAAGTTTCAGAAAAGTATATATTTTTTTAAATTTTTAATAAGGTGAATTATGTTGTGTTGATTGATTTATGAATATGGCCAACTTCAACAATTTAAAAAAAAAATTTAAATTGGATTTGAAATATAGCAAAATACTTTGCTTATTGAAAATATTAGTTTTAATTTCAAGCTAATCGATGAAATTTAAAATAAAAGCTTCAAGAGAGGTTTTTCATTTTTAATATGCATTTTAAAGCTTAGATATCACTTTTTTTTTTGAAGGTATCTATAATGCATTACGTACACTACATATTGCATTATATGCATGTCTATATTTTTTTAACAACCTCTTTATATTGTTTTCTATAGAAAACAATATAAAGACTAGTGAAAAACATCAACACAACTGCACTTCTTCAGGCCATTATTCCTAAAAGAAGGAAAAGAAAGAAACCTCAAAGAAAGAAATCAAAACATGATTGGAATAAAATCAGATTTGGTCATGTGATTTGAAATGTAAGAACAAGACAAATTGAAGTCAAAGAAAACAATGAAGTGAACACAACAGCCAATGACAGATGCATCCAGAAGACAAATACCCAGGCCCAATAAAGATAACATTTATATAACACACAAAGAAACATAGGCAGGAAATAAAATAAACATCATTGTTACACATTATTGCTTTTCTATATATATATATATATATATATATATATATATATATATATATATATATTATCCCTCACCAATAGCACGACTGAGTTTCATGCACAATGCAATCTTCAGGTGCTGAGTATGAACTGACTGTTATGTAATTTAAATTTTAATAAAAACATCTGTTATCACAATGTTTTTGCAGTTATGTATTATACTGGGATTAGCTGATCATAACATTTTCATTAAAAAATCTTTTTAGTGTTGGTGAATAATTAAAGTGCTTATGAATTGGACTGATTTATGTAAATTATCTAGAGTTTTATGAGGGTGATTTGATTCTTTACTGATGTATCTATGGTTATAAAGATCTTTGGTATATAGTTTGGAATAATCATTATTCAAGTACAAGGTCACATTGAGAAAGTTGATCACTTTTAGCATTAGTGTAGTTGTAATATTTAGCTTGTGATCTTTGAGAAAGAAACTGATAAAATTTTTCAATCAGTCTATATTTCTTCAACATGTTTTACAGAGGAGAATTACACCATCATCTCTATAGATTCTGGTTTTCTTAATGCTGAAAATAAATCTTAGTCGCCACAATAACAAGATCCCAACTATTTCACATGCTTCTGCTGAATCATATGCTCCCATAGCAATATTAAAGTCTTGGTTATTTCTTTTGGTCCACAAATAACCATTAGGGAATGTTTTTGTGCCTGCTTTACGATTTTGATTTAGTAATCACTAATAGGATAGTAATTTTTTTGCTAAATTTATAGCAGACTGTGGTCAAAAGAAGTTAACAACTATGTTTTGGGACATAATTTCAGATTGGGTATTTGTTCCCTTTACATCAGTTTCTTGATATTTATTGCTGTTCTCTTCCCTGTATCTGCTTTGTTGTTCGTTCCTCCTATCACAATTGTACATATAGTATTATGTACCCTGACAGAAGACCTCTCTCATCTCCATGATGGTCTACTTGGGGAATCATCAATCACTCACCCGGGTGATAGACATACTAGACATACGGGCACCTCAGAATGGAGCACTAACACATCTGAATGTCCTGCCTCGATTCCACCCAACCACACTAATATTATACTCAGTTACTAATGAACCAATTTCTTGTGGGACAACAAAGAAGAGGGGTCTCTTTCGATGGAAAGAATGTACTCGTCTTCTCTCAAATCAAAGTCCTATATGCCAGACAAAAACGAACTCTCTTTTGTCGAGAATAAGGCAAATCTTGTTCACCATTTCTGTCATTCAACTCTGGTTTTGGTTCACTATGTCTACAACAGAGACATTAGCAGATTCTCAGTGATGAATTGGTAAAAATCACAATTATCGAACTGGATGAATATATATTCTTCCTTTTTATATTAGTAAACCATTCTATGGCTTCTGCTGTTTTATGCCACTGGTTAATTCCTAGAGCATCTTTTATGCCTTTGCATGCTCTTTTAAGGATGATTTTGAATCTTACCAATATTATCTTTAGATAGGTTGAGTAATTGGTATTGTTAAGGTAATTTGCTTTGTGGTCTTCAACTGTGATGAGTTTTTATTTATATATATATATATATATATATATATATATATATATATATATTCGACTCTCCCGTTGAATTCAATGTATGAGGGTCAAGCAGATCAGTTCCTGACACCATCACATGAGATTTGATTATAGTGGTGAAGGTTATGTGCAGAACCATCCACTTTTTGAAGGGCCAAATACAGAGACTTGGTGCACTACGTGCCACAAGGTCCTTTTGAATTCAGAGTTGTCCTTCTCCTAGACCAGTTGCCATCCAAGGCTATCGAACCCAGTCTTTCCTGCTATTTACCCATAGCTGGGGGGAGAAGAAGAGGATTCACACCTTTCCCAAGAGTATTAGCATATACGGGAATGTAATGGATTCGACTGGAATTCGAACTCACCTCTCAGATTCCTCAATTCAAGCCACTATCCATTACTCCACCGTGCCTCCTTATATACATACATATTATATATATATATATATTTTACCTCTATGGTACCAAGTGCAGGAGCACTTCAAGGTGTTTAATGGCAAGGTTAATTAACTTTGCATCAGTGGGACAAACAAAATGCAAGGTTTTTATTAGGTACTTGACCCTTTGGACCTTTGCACAAACATTCTTGTCAAGAAAGGTGAAAAGATTATCTGACTTGTTTAGGTTTCAACCACATCCTAACAATTTGGTAAGACTTTTACCTTAAATGACTTGTGTCATCTTGAATTTGTTTCAAAGGGACGCATAAGTATCATTTCATCCTAGAGAATGTTAAACTTTTGAAACTTTCAGCTTTCATATCAGTTGTGAGACACAAGTCAATATGGTTGATATACTTGCTCTTCAAAGCTAATAAGTGTGATTTTCACCAAATACTTTTGAAATGAAATCTTGTGGCTAAATTAGCTGAATCCAACAAATTAGGTGCACCTAGCAAGATTTTGCAATAATGCCACTTTGCTACAGAGTAGTGATTAACAAGCACATATTGCAGATCATTAGTCCTGAGTAAACTGACTCTTGAGGCCTTCAAAAAGTATTGAAATTTGATATAGATGATATTTCATAAGTAAATAAGCAAAAACGTAAGGACTTCAGCAAATTGTCAGACTTGTGGATCATAGGTATTAATTATTTTTTTTTTTTAACTTAAGCTGACAACACATAATAACTACAAAATTACAAATAATTCCACCTGCACTACAGATTAAAAAAAAAAAAAAAAAAAAAGAGGATCCATTTGTTGGAATCTGGGTGTACCTGTATAGTTATAAGGAATTCACATCAAAACAACATTGCAGTTAAGAAAACACATGAAACTCTTTAGGGGAGGAAAAAAAAAAAATCAATCTGACAACAATGAATGGTAACAGGAAAATAAGAAAGCATTTGGTAATGTGTAATCAAAAACCAATTCTGGAACCAGGACCCTTTTTTCTTTTTTTTTTTGAGGGTTGAAGAATTATAGTTTACACCCACAAACATAAAAAAATTCACAACACACAGGCTTACAAGTTGTTTTAAGGCAGAGGAAAGAGCAGGAGAAAGAAAAATGAGCAAATTTTGAATTCTGCAAATACTTACCAAATTCCTGGCAATGAACAGTAATAAAAGGAAGAACAACATTTATTATGAAATTTTACTGTTTATGAAATTGGCGTTCATTTTTTAATATTTGAAGTTACAAGTGACCGATGCCTTATTTAATGATAAATTTTAAATTCTTTTTTTTTCATTATCAAAAACATTAACAGAATGTCAGATTAATCTTGTCAAGAACATACATTGCTCCTTTTAAGAAAAAGTATTGTACAGGATTATTTTATGAGAAAAATACAACTAAATGGATTATATACTGGCTTAAAAACACTTAGAAATGCAAAAACAAAACATTTTAAAATGATAGTAAGTTTAAGGAGTAAATCATGACAAACTTTACTCTCTACCAACAGCAGAAATAATAATAATAATAATAATAATAATAATGATAATAATTGAAAGAAATGTGAAAAAAAACATTTACGAACCAGTGGGTTGTATCTGATCACAATGTCGTACTCCATTGAGGCAGTTAGATTTGTTACTGTGAAGTCAATAGAATCACCTTCCATGACCTTCATGAAACCAGGTCCAGTCCAAGTAACAACTTCATCTGGTCCACGTTCATGGATGTCCACACGAGCATTCTGAGGAAAAACAGAGAGAGAAAAAATAAATCTGTCAAAAGTTTTATCAAAAATACATTTTTACATTTTTCTTCCAAACATTAATCAATTTATTAATATAGCTGTTCATTTCTATCTAAAGTACACATGATAGGATCTAAAAGATTAGTGATTCTAAAAATATTGATAACAAGAATTAAGCATTAAGACCTTAAACCTTTAACCCATTGCATTAATTCACTACTTCCTTTTCCACTGCATTGTTTTTCAAGGCTCCTCTACTGCACTACTTCAGTTATGGTCATTTTCTGTTGCCATAGCAAGATATGACAACACAACTGGAAAATCACATCAATAGAAAATAAAGAGAGCCATATCTTCTAACAATATTTTCCTTTCTTTGGTAAGATAAAACTTCTAGCTATTAGCTTTAATATAATGCTGCCTACACTCCAAAACATTTACTCCTTTATTTTAATCATTTCACCCCAAGTAAGGCAATAAAACCACTAAGACAAGGGTTTACCTTGTTGTAAGTTCCTTTACTATCTTTACTATCCATTAAATGATTCTCTTGGGATTATAAAATTATTTTACTAAACATAAAACTCTTAACAAAGTCAGGATTTAGTTAGTTTTAGTTAATGGCATATCGACTCATTATGGGTCATTTAATGCCAAATTTTTTCTTGTGAGCTTTCATAATTTTTTTTTTTAACAAACATATTGCTGGTAATTTTTTTCTAGTTTATTTTTATATTTTCCTGTTTTGAGGCCAAGTTGAGAGTTCACTATTTGCTCATAGCTGAGACACTAACAAGTTCTACTACCGTGGTTCTGTGTGGAGCTGGGAACAACAGCAATTAAGAGGTGGTTCCATGCTCCTCAAAACCTCTCGATCAGTAGTTTATTGTCATACCCAGGACGGGATATTTGTCCCAAATAATATTTGATTATGAATAACTGTGCATTGCTTTTATATAAAACAGCACAATACAATGTAGCCAGGATTATGAAAAAACAGTTTCAAGAAAATAGGCACAAAAATTTTATGTCTTTTCCCAGTAGCACCAGCATAAGTCACCAACCAAAATTTGCTTATGAATTTGGCATTATGACATTAAGTTTACAATGGCTACAAGGTGCTAAAGTCTATTCTTAGTTGCTTCTCTCAAAGAGTATTTCAATATCAAAGTCTTTGCAAATGTTGCAAATATCTGCCACCTTACACAAAATAGCCAGCCACTTAAATGAAAAATAACTCATTTCTTTTTTTTTTTTTTTTTTTACTAAGTTCAAGGCTCAAAAAGAGTTTATTGAATGAGGGGTTTGATATTTAATCTATTAGCTTGAAATTAAAAATAAAATAAAATCTTCACAAAAGATTTTTCATTTTTAAAATGCATTTTAAACTTTAGGTATCACTATTCTTTGGAGGTACCAATAATACCTTATGTACAGTACATATTGCATTTGTAGAGTGAGTAGCCATAGTTAAATACAAAATAAGTAACAGAACTGTTTTACCTTTCTTTTTTTTTTCTTTTATTTATTATAGAGTGAACGGCCATTGTTAAATATAAAGAAATGGCAGAACTGCTCAACAAACAATTGACAAAGGTTGCAATAAGCAATTACAAGACAAAGAACAGAACAAAAAAATAATATGAAGCAAGCAAATAAAATATGCAAGGCAAATTAACAGTAATAAAACAAAGCAACAGTAACATGGCAAAAAATTCACAAGCTAGGAATTGGGGCTAACACACAACAGCAAGTTCCGACTTCAAGACAGACCAGGACTGAGTCAGATGAAACCGGGAACTGGCCTATTTTATTGGCTAGGAAATAAATCCCAGCATGCATTTGTGTGCTTCTGCCTATAAAATGGAGAGGGGAAAGTGTTTTGCAGTCATTCCCAGTATGATTGAAACTGACAGCATTATATGCAAGAAAAAAAAAAAAAAAAAAACCATCTCTTTAGAGCGTTTACTGAATGAAGGGTTTGATATGAACAGTAAGATCCCCTCTTATTAATGGTCAAGGTGCATCAAGACCACACAACTAGATCTAAATATTTCCAAAATGGCTTCATATTTTCTGGACAGATCAAAACAAGATATTTACCTTCAGACCACGTCCAAATTCTGCTTCAAACAAGAACGAATCCAGTCCAGGAATAAAATAAAGAGGCATGGGGCGGTCACACTTTCGGCCATAAATGTGTGGTCGACATTGACACTGGCCATTGCTTTGATCACATGTTTCTCCCAAGGAGCCACCAATGTCACAATCACATGGTTTGCATCCATTGATGTCGGAACTCAAACCCCAATAGCCAGGCTGAAAAAGAAAACAAAATATCATAAACAGAAAGTCTAAATCTAAAGTTAAATTTGTTTGATTGCTTATCTGAAATAAATATTGGGTTAAAGTGATAAAAATATGCATTTTCAATAGATAACATTTATGTTTGTTTTTCTTTCCATTTAAGTGCTCCCCACATCCCATTCAGCGTAATCATCATTCCAAATATTCTATTCATTTATTATTTGCAAAATGTCATGAATTCTTGGAAAATACAGTGGCTTCTGGCTGCTTTCTCCAGTTGGAATTCTCTATTCCTTCTGATAGACTGGCTGCCATCCAAGGCTAAAGAACCCAGTCTACATCAATGTACTACTATTAAAAAGGCAGAGAGAGAGAGGGAAAAGATAAAAGAAAGGAAAGATAAGTATATTGCAGGTGTTAAAGGAAAGCCTTTTTTTTTTTTTTATTTTAGTGAGTGATTGTTTAAAATTAAAGAGTGATCAAAGTACTCTGTTGTTTATAACAACAGATACTTCACCTAGAACAAAAAAAATTAAGTTATTTGAATTTTTAAGATTCACACCCACTCCCTGGTCTTTTGAACAGGAATAATGGTTTATCCCTTGTTTCCTGTTTAGGAATGGTGTCGCAATATGATTTCTCACACATTCTTAGCAGGGAGATAGATTCTTTTTTTCCTTTTAAGTCAATTTAATGACCTTGGTTTCTTAGGAATCTTGTCTCCAGCCCACTTTTGAATTGGCAAACATAAAATTTTGTTAGTGATTTTAGATAATAATAAAAATAGAGTTCTTTGAAAACTGACCACCCAAAGGTAGATTGGTTGATCCCCTATTCCGCAACACAAGTGGAGGCATAGAGGTGGTGGTCCTCCAGCCAGTATTCCTATGAATGAGTGAAGCAGTCAGTCAATGAGGAAAGGACCAGCAGTCACTGAAATGATCAGGCAGTGAGTGTCAGAGTCCTTTTTCCATAGCCAGAAGTTAGTAAAATAGCCAGATTTCGCCTTCTCTAAGCCAAAGGAAGATATTGCTGATTAAGTGAGAAATCATATTGTTTGCTACTTCCCAACCAGTGTATTCAAAACATTTGTTGTTATTCTTTGTTGGCATCAATCACAGCTCTAATATTGAAACAAACCTATGAACATAGCTAGCAACAGTGTGTATTCACATACAGCCAAACTTGGATGTCACCACAGCTTGTACAGTGATGTGCAGAAACATCGTCACATTGGGTTTCCAGTTCCTTCCAAAGTCGTCTTCTCTTTCACTCTCAATAGCTCCTTGCAACTTAGTGACAATATTGCATTGCTTGAGGTGAAATGAATAAGAATATTTAAATAAATATATATTTTTTTAACTAGCTTTATCCATCCCAAAATTCCACTGTGGACATCAGTCTATTGAAAGAAACTTGTAAAATTACTGTAACCTTCAAAATTCACTTATTATTTATAAATAAATTTGTGAATAGAAAAGGATTTCAATAACATTTATAGATAACATCCAAATAAATAATTTATTCAATGAGGTTTCTATTATTTTCAATTACAGCTTCAACATGACTTTGACAGACTGCAACTACAAAATCCTTGGACATATCAACCCACTTTTCCTTGATGGCACCCCTGAGGGTATTAATGTTGTAATGAGAGGTCTATTTTTTTGTGACTGCCTCCAAAATATTCTACAAGGTGTAGTCAAGTAGGTTCAAGTCCAGGCCAATGTCAGGTCAGTAAACAGCAAAGTTAGCTTTCCAAAAATTCTGGAACTTCTTGAGTGTGTGACCAAAAGCATTGTTCTTTATTCACACATCATTGAACTGTCAATAATTGGTACTGAGTGATGACTAATCATGGTACTTTACGCACTTGTAGTACACCTCAGTACCCACCTTTTCTCCAAACTTGTAGAAGAATAGGAGCTTTTTTTTTTTCTTTCCCTTGTTGGGGGCCATGGTACTCTGGACAGTAACCAGAGTTGTAAATGTTTGGTTCTTAAAGTGCCTTTGACATCAACTCCATGAGATACTGGTTGTTTTGGTGAATCAAAACAGCATACACTGTGAAGATTTTCTCATCAAATCATATTTTACAAGTGGACACAACGGTTTAGGTATCTGAGAACTTTCTTGCATCTTTCCAGTCTCGTGGTTTTCAAAAACTATGAAGAGATGCCTTGATATCCTACTGTTTGATTTAAAGCCCAGATTGTTATGTCTGACCATTCTGATAGTCTTAGGTCCAATTTTTAGCACAGTAGCATTGATGTTATTGAATCCTTGGCAATTTTGGTCTTGGGGCATTAATGAAGCCATCATTACCCTTCTTGTTGGTTCTCTCTACTGGCTACTCATCTTCCTTTGGATTCCATTTCCCCATGGCTATGGAATTGTAGACAGTACACAAAGACACACCTACGATGTTTCAGATGCTTTCAGGATCAATTTGTTCAAGAAGTCTTACACAGTCTTTTTATGATGTCATTTTTATGATATTCCTGAAAACTATACTCTTTGTATAGTCCAACTTCTTTAATACAACACTCTTTTTTGAATCAGTCATTATTCATTGAGCAGCTATGAGGACACATATTGTTTACAGTTTCTCCGCACTGACAGCAGTAGAGTGTTGTGGTGATACAATCTTGTTCATTTCTTACATTTAACTGTATATTTACCCAGTCAGCATAGATTTTTAGATTTTAGGGATTTTTTTTTTAGCCTTTTTTTTTAGCATTTGTACTGCATGAAACAATAAAAACCTTGTTTGAAAGCATTAATGATTATTTTATTTCCTGTTTTAAGCTTTGTCCTACCTTTGATAACACAATATATATATATATATATATATATATTATATATATATATATATATATATATATATGTGTGTGTGTGTGGAATGACTTAGTAAGACTAGGTTTATATAGGGATTTTTTAACCTCTTTTTTGGGGGTGATTTCTGTCATCTGGCATTTTCTGCAGTCCATCAGTAGCCTAGTTGCAAGGACACCAGATTAAAGAGCTTGGACGGTATTTGTTTTCTCAACTTGTAGATAATATAAAATAATGAATAAAGTTGCTTCCAACTAAAAGAAACTCATATTTCATAAATCATGGAGATTATTTGAATCAATTCAATGACTGAAGTGTGAATGCCTCAAAATCCAGAAACCAACATCAGTTATAGTTAGGGTTGCCATTTCAGAAAAAGGAAAATCTCCTCTTGTTTCTGAAAGGGTAAAGGTCAACAAGGAAGTGAACATAGAGGACATCTTGGAAGGTGAACACGAGCTGTGGTGCAATGCCACTTATGATGATGAATATTAGACAAGACAGAGCAACAAGCCATACTTCTCATGTAGCACAGCAGTGGTGCAGAGAAAATTGTCCAGGCTTCATCAAGGATGAAGGGCCTTCCTCATCACCAGATATCAACACTCTTGATATTGTTGTGGGAAGTTCTTGAGTCAGATTTGTTCTACTTTGCATCACAATTATTGAAGCTGTGAAGGCAAAAATTGTAGAGACATCGATCTGTGATGAAAGCTAAAGAGAACCATATTGAATGAGAGATTTTCTGGTGTTATTTAACAGATTAATTACTTTGTGTTAAAATGGTTTGCAGATATAATGAATTTTTCAGGATTTATGAGCTTTTTCTTTTGTAAGAGTATTTGTCACATCCTGTGCAATTTAATATAAAATGTGGAAGTAAATCAAACACTTAAAATGAAATATACTAGAACAAAAGACCTGCATTTAAATTACCACAAATGTCAACCAATTTGTTTATTTTTGGTAGGACAATTACAGATACTTACAAAGCATTGGTCACATTGTTTGCCTGTTACATAACGTTTGCAGATGCAGTCTCCAGTTATCTTACTGCAGCTGTTACCAGGACTTGTCCCAAGAACATTACAAATGCAGGCTGCAAGAAAAAGCCAAAGTATCAAGTATCAGAATTTGCTAGAATCATAACCACTCTCTTCTATAAAATTACTATAGAGTAGACAAAAGGAAAGCCACATCGCCAATTCTTTATTTTTAAAAAATAAACCCCGAAGAGCCCACCATTCAACCACAGGACATACAAAAAAATATTCAATTTCAGGCATAGTAATACCTATATGGGTCATTTATCTTAAAGTATATTTTGACAGATAAATGGTTCACATAGATGTAAGTTAGCAAAGAGATTTCTAAAGTATAATAATTTTTCACAAATGGCAGTGAATGAAATGTGCCACCCAAAAGTTCAGGGAATTTAAAGAACAGATTTTTACTGCAATTCTTTATGAACCACAAGAGAACCGTCCTTTGTCAATTCTCAAATGCCTTTAAATAATTTTATTTGACAATAATGACAGCATTACTTGTTGACTACTGGCAAGTGTCTACATTTTCAATAAACAATATTTATATTAAAGGCCTAATCAAATTTTAAGTAAAAAATTGCACAGTTTGATGCTTAATATTTTTTCCCCCTTTATGAAAGAAATACTTGCTTACATTGAAACTAAAACAAAATGAAGAAATAGAAGTAAAAAATTGAAACTTTGACTACCAGATTAAAATGTAGTTAAGTTGATAATAAAAACCATGTTTGTTTCATGTCTGCATCTTCCAACAAAATATGAATCAATTAACACTCATTTAGAAACCCTTATGATATCATGACTTTTTAAATAAACAATAAACTACTTACTAATCGTGTCAGAGGATGCATAAGTGAAATTAATCTCAATTGGAAACTAAACTGCAGAGATATTTCAATGTTATATACATATATATATATATATATATGTGTGTGTGTGTGTGTGTGTGTGTGTGAGTGAGGCCAGTTTCGTTGTATCACAGCTCATCAGTGTGACCAGACAACCGAATGATTCAAGCCAGGATTGAAACCCGATCAGTCAGAGTTTCTAACCCATCAGCACTTCGGCAAGGAGAAAGACGCATTCTAGTGTATTGTTTTTACAAATGTAAACAAACACCAGGCAGCCACACACACACAGTTAGATAGATAGATAGATAGATATATAGATAGATAGATAGATAGATGGTGGTAGGGATTGATTGTTTATTAACAGTTTATCAAACTTTTGCAGGTTATTTAAAACTGGAAAATATTTTTTAGAAATAATGATTTACTGATACAAATCCTACTAATTAACCCATAGCTGAGGGGAGAAAAGGTGGGTTCATAACTTCCCCAAGGGTGTTTGAGAGTAAGTGAAGATAACAAAACCTTCTGTAATAGAAACTTGGCTCTCCAATTTCCAATTCCAAGCCATTGTCCATTGCATCACCAATTACCACAAATAGTATCCCCAAGCAGTTACCCAAATAGGTACTAACTGGTCTCAATGTTGCTTAACTTCAGTAATTATACAAGAAATGGTGTTTTGGGATATAGCTGTAAACTTATATACAGTGTGCGATGGATAAATTGGCATGTAAATGACGCCAAAATGAAAATAACACTGGCATCTCATTTTAAAGGATTTTTACCAAAACTACACAAAAATATCTTGAAATACTAAAGAGTAGGTTTATTCAATAAAATTGCCATTAACTTCAACCATGGTCTCCAAACGAGTTCAGAATTTCCTGCATCTCTTCTTGATGGTCTCCTTGTTTAAGTAGGTGAATGCTGCCATAATCCTTGCCTTCAAGTTCATCTTTCATGTTACAAAGAGTTTTGTTGGTTTATCACTCAACTGTGCCCTGTACATAATAATCAAGGGGGGTTGCAGTCTAGGCAGTTAGGTTTAAGTGGTGAAATTATCTGACAGCCATGACTGTGTTCTGCTGCTTGTGTGGCATGGTACAGAGCCCTGTTGCCAGACATAGGGTCTTCCAGTAGCCACCCTCTTGACCCAAGGCAGGCCATTTAATGTAGACCTCTATGTTGAGTGAGCCCCTCACCAACAAATTTGGAGTTCTTTTCTTATCAGAATGATCAGAGTGAGTTTTCTGACCTTCATAATCACCATTAGACTCATCCAACTCTTTCTGAATTCTCTGCACTCTCCAAACATACTGAAATGTTCATATTGAAGCTTCCAGTGCAAATGCCAAGTAGTACAGCATGCCACTTGCAAATTTCTGGCTGAGTGAATTGCATCATGGTGCTCTTTTTCTAACAGACAATGTCCAACTGACCCTACTATACTGTACAGTCGACATAAACAAACAAAACAAAAAAACAATGTGCAAAATTTAAAATATAAAATGGCGACAATTTCCTCATCATAGCCTGTATATATAGAATTTGTGAAAATCAGTTTTGACTCTGTACAAACATTTTGAAAATAGCTGAAAAAAAATCTTATGAACTTATTGTTACTATGCCAATTATTGTAACCTAGGGAAGGTTACTGAATAGAATAATCAAACGAAGGTTGGTAATGAACGATAATACTTAGGACAAGAACAACACATAAGATTTGCCAGCAGCACATAGTCGACATAAAGAAGAAGTAGTCAACTGCTAAAAGCGAGTCAAGTGAATTCCACAATGAATCTCCAACTGCAGACCAACATACAGTATTTACTATTGTATTTATGTGAATGGAGACACACCCATTATCATCTGTAGGTATGCTACAACACCAACCATTATTTTGAAATGTAGTGGTTAAGTAAAAAGTTTTAACAGTTAATAAAATTTTAAAATAAATATCTGAAAAAAAAAAAAAAAAAAAAAAAATCAATGGGATTTTATATAGAAAAATGTTCAAATAAAATATGAATGTGCTGATTTGATATCAAATAAAAAAAAAAGTTATATAGAGAAAAATAAAAGAATATCCCAAGAAAATAATGAATATTTAAAATTCAAATTATAATTTATGATAATATTTAGGTGTTAAGGAAAATATTGAAATTAATTAAAATTTATACATAGTGGATTCAAAAATTCTTCTCAATGGATTATGATGAATAAATGAAACCATTTTGGTATTTTTTAAAATCAAAAGGATTGTTTGTATATTGGGAGAATAAAGAATTACAAAATAAAAAAAAATATATATATTCCAAACATTTTCATAAATTATATATTGTGTATTTTGTTGGGATATTTTATATCAGTCATTATATATATATATATATATATATATATATATATATATATATATATATATATTAGGGAAGTGGTTATAATTGTTCCAACAAGAGAAAAGTGTATATTTTAAAAAGGAGATAAATTGAAAATATTTGGGGCTGAAATGTGGATTTTTTATTTTAAAATATATATTAAACTCTATTTTCCATAATTCTGTTACACATGTTACTGGTTTTGCAACCTTCTTCAAGCAAAGAGTACATATTTCCATATATTATAAAAATGAATTTTTTTGCATGGTCGATAAGAATTTATATAAACTCTTATCACCATTCCAAGAAAGACATTTGAATCACTACCACACAAAATATTCATTTTTATAGTATGTCGAAATATCTACTCTTTGCCTGAAGAAGTTCATGAAACTATAAACTTGTGTAGCAGAATTATGGAAAATAGAGTATAATATATATTTTAAAATAAAAAATCCACATTTCAACCAAAAACGTTTGCAGTTTATCTTCTTTTTAATTTATATAAGGACAAAAGGAAAACTTATCTTAGCTGACACATTTTGCCCTCTGACTGACTTTATTAAGGCAAATATGCTTTGCCTTAATAAAGTCCCTCAGAGGACGAAACACATCAGCTAAGTTTTCCTTTTGCCTTTATTCATATTGTCTTCTTAAAGATATACTCTATCTGAAATTTTCATACACATACACCTGTGTGGCATATATCAGAGATGAAGGAGCTGCTCACAAAAGGTTTATACATACATACATACACAAAAAGCAGTAAACACAAAAAAAAAAAAAAGAGAAAAGGTTAAGCAACAATTGTTACCTTCACAACCATGTGGATTGTCCGATTTAAGATTCCAGTAACCATTCTGGCAGGTGTCACATCGTCTTCCATTAACATAACGCTTGCAGTCACAAGTACCAGCTATATAACGGCCATCTTTGCTTGTATGGCTGTGACATTCTCCCTGGCGCAGAGATCCTGACGGGTCACAGTTACAATCTACAGTCACAACAAAAGGAATAAAATCAGGTTTGTAATCACTGGATTTGACACAATTATTTACAGAAGATTTGAAAGTAACAAAATTAAATAATTTTGTTTTGATCACATTTAGTTATTCTCAACATACATTTTCAATCAGGGTTTCAAAATTTCAAAAAAACCCTAACTTATTTAAATTGGCCTTCAGTTTTTGGGGTTTTTTTTAAATTTTATTTAAATATTTTCAGTTTCTTTCAAAAGTAAAATTTTCAATTGACATTTAGAAATAATTATTAATTTTAAATTAGTGCTTCTTTCATTTTATTACAATTTCCAGATTGTTAGTAAGTAAAATGGATCAGAGATAAACCAGCTTCTCAGGGCCAACGTAAGCAAACTATAGCCCCACCTTTTTGTCCAACCAATGATTTTATGCAGCCTGCAAGAGCCCAACAAACATTATTTTTTTAAATGTCTAATAATAATATTTTAATATCTTTTGGTTAAAAAGTGGCCAAAAATAGTAACCTATTCAAAACAGGAATGAAGATAAAGGTGGAAACCATATTTATTAAATTATTAAATTAGTTCATTGGAAACTGACTGCCTAGAAAATATATCATGTTATATACTATCACAGGCATCTGCATTGCTACATCACGCATTGTGCCAATGTCAATCCCCAATCATTAGCAGAGTTTAAACTGATGTAGGGATCTAGGTGCCTGCATGTATTCCAACTGGAGCTAAACATATGACATTTCTTTCATCTTGTTATGAAAGTCTCACAAGATTTTCGCCAGCTGCAAAAAACTCCTTAATAGTAAGATATGTATTAAATATTAAATTAATTTCTCAAACATTTGTGCAAACTATTCACCAAATTACAATCATAAATCATGTATGTTATTTGCTTATTAAACATAGGATTTATGATTATTATTCTATTGTTGTTGGGAAACTAGTTGGAATTGTGAGGAGGTCCATTTTTTTTCTTTATTCCTTTGAGAGATTAGAAAAATTTACAAACTTTCTCACTCAATATTTTTCATAAAAAAATCTTTTGTCTAAGTTAAATTCAACCTTTTTAATCAAAGACAGACAACTTTTTAGACATTGAACATTTCTGAAACGGCAAAGAACTTTTTGTCTATACTTTTGCACACTTCATTACAAAGAAATTGTAAATTTGTTGTTTCAAACATGTATTTTTTGTCATGATTGATTATCGTTACCGTTTAGCCATTTCTTATAATTTATGTTTGTGGATATTGCATATTTTATTTGCAGCACAATCTTAAATATTCATGCAGCCTTCCTAGATCCACTACAATAGTGTTATCATGGAACAGGATGACACTCTCTTACACAAATATATCCTGGCCTCTTTCAATGATTAACTTTCCTCAATCTGTCCAGTGTTAAACAAGATCTGGCTACATTACCTGACCATATGATAAAAGACAAAAAACAGGATGACCTTTACTATATATTTACACATAAAAATGTATTGCCTGAATAAACTTAACATGAAAGAAAATTCTATCTTGCATTTCTCAACAGAGACCAGGTCAAGAAAATTAGTAATTCTCAGAGTTATTGGCATGATTTATGATTTATATTCATTTTTTAAGATCTGTTGTTATGCCAAAAGTGCTCTATTATGTATAGATTTTAATAAATTGATTTTATGCTTTACAAATAATTACTTCAATCCAATTGTATTAGATGCAGTGTATTAAAAGTTCCTGCTACTTCTTTTTTGAAAACTAGGCTGAATACACAGAATATGGTCAGAAAATGTTTTTTAAAAAATGCTGGAAACTTTTTCACACAATTTATACATTGGTTTATTTGGACCATTTGCTTTTTTGCCGCTCACTTTTCAGCCACTATTGACCTAGAGCTAATATACTAACAGGTCTAAATCAAATTATGGTTACAAATAACTTCCTTACCTTAAAAATATAACTTAAAAGAAAAAAATTGACATAATTAATGTAAAATTAACAAATATATTAATTTTACATTTGGTAATAACCATGTCCCACTTGTAATTATGATTACACCAGTGTAAGAAGACACAGTTAAATTCGCTTTAAAAAGAGGCTAAAAACTAAAATAAAAAGAAGCTTACGTTGGCAAACATCTGGGTCAGTCATTCTTCTGTTTGGATCCTGATAGAAGAAAGGTTTGCAGAACTGACAGTTCCTTCCCATTGTATTATGCTGGCAATCATCACAAACACCTCCACTCACGCGGCCAGTTTGTTCATAAACCGCAGGATCAAAATGACATTTCGTAGCATGGTTATTACAATTACATACTGAAAGTAAAAACATACAAAAAATAAAAAAAATTACAAAATAACAGAGTGTATCACATGCTCAGTGAATGCCCAACCCTACCCTCAACCACCTGTTATCATTTGTTATTGCATTAACGGCAAAGAATTTATAAAACTGACAAATAATAGGACAGAAGTGACCTAGTATTGAACAGATTTGGGGATTGGATATCAAAGGGTCTTTCGTTATATTTTGAGGCCACTAAATAGAATTTTTTTCACTGTCATCTTATAGTCAATTAGAAACTATCAACAAATATTAAATTCTATCCTTATAGATTTATTGTAAACTACAGCAAGGATATGTTGAGGTTGAGGTAAAACATCTAAACGATTGCTCTCCCCAAAAATATGGGTTAACAGAGAGAGAAAGGAAGAAACAAAATAACACAAAAATGGCAGGCAGTATGCAACTTTAAGAACAAAATGCCCAAGGGAATGAGTTAACAAGACACCGAGTCTGACCAATTGTTGATTTCCCTGTCACTTTTATTAGCAGGAGACAGCTGACAAAAACCCGTATCAGGACAGATTGCAGAGAGGCCTGTATCTAGACACGCCAAGATGTTTCACTGTTAATGGGAAAAACCAGGATACAACTAGACATGTCCACACATGACTTGGAGCTACTTTTGCATCTGTACTGACACACATTTGTCTCAAGATTCTTGACAACACCTTTTTAATATCACCATATTAATAGTCGAAACAGGAATTTTGCCACTTGAAATACAGAAAGCTAAAAATATAACAATTATATATATATATATATATATATATATATATATATATATATATAAACATAATATATTGCTTTTTCATATGTAGACATGAAAAAAGACATCTTATGTAAAAACATTAAAACAATAATTCAAAGTGTCCAATGTCTAAAGATAGAAGAATCTAAAATGAATTTAAGAAAAAAACCAAGACAAACACACACCAACTCATTTGCAAATTAAATTTAATCTTCTTGCTCTTCTGGCTTCTGGGGCTAAGATCAATAAGGATGGTACACAGTATGGTTCCAATAAATCTATTGAAAGCAAAACACCATGTGTCATCTTATTGATCGCAGCACTTGAAACCTAAAGAATTAGAAAAGAAATGTTAATGTGAATGGGTTGCTGCATGATTCTTTTGTTTTTAATTTGATCTTGTGTTTTAAAGCATGAATTTGTAAACAGTGACTATTACTACTAATAATGCAAGACTCTCCCAACAGATTGAGTCCTCTAGAACACTGGTATGTTTATGAAAAAATAAATATGCAAAATTTTGCCTTTCTCACTGCTGGGCGCCAATAGCCTAGGGGTTAGAATCTCTGATGCCAAATCAGTCAGGTTTCAATCCCAACTTGAAGATTGAATGTCTAGTCACACTGATGAGATGTGATACAGTGAAACAGTCTGTGGATGACAAGATATATAATTTATTCGAAAACTATAACATAAATATGTGATAAAATTACTACAAAAATAGCTATTTTGTTTCAACAGTTCTGGTGTCTTATCAAGTGATGATGTTGAATGTAAACACCATCACTTGATAAGATACCAGAAGTGTTGAAACAAAATGGCTATTTTTGTAGTGATTTTATAACATGTTTATGTTATAATTTTTGAATAAATTATATTTGCTCTACTCTGTATTGAACACTCTTTTAAGAATAGTATTTTTTGGTTACTGAATTTATTCCATATACACCAATCCCATACTTGTGTGTATGTGTGTGTGTGTGTGTATATATATATATATATATATATATATATATATATATATATATATATATACACACAAGTTGTGATGAATTTAATGTTCTTACAAGGAAGGCACTCATTCTTCACTCAGTGTCATATTATTCTAAAATATCTGTAGATATTTCCAGTGTGTGAAAGATTTTTTTCTTAAAATGAGCTCACAGGAAGATAAGTTTTTAAAAATTTTTTAAAAATAACAAAAAAAACACACAATTACCAGTCTGTTAGTGGTTCTTTGGGGGTAAAAGATAGCTATATTGAATATTCTGTGGAACTTATTTTCAGTGATTTATGATAAAAATTAAGATATACTTACATACAAATTTTGATGCTTTTGTTTAAAGTAGAGAAATTAAAAATTCATCCACACCCACCCACCTTAGTCTTCATATTTTACTAAAATCTAAGTATTCAAAAAAAAAAAAAAAAAAAAAAAATGATGTAAATATTTTGTTATACAATAAAATAAGAAAATAATAAAACACACTTACTTTTGCAAGCATTTGGTTGTCTCTCCCGAGCTGGTCGCCATGGAAGATCATTGTAGAAATCTTGACATTTGTCACAGTTGAAGCCAGTTGTTCTGTGGGCACATTCACATTTTCCATGGACCTGACCCCCCAAAAAAATACACATTACTAATATAAAGAAAAACAGCAGCAGTTGACATTAAACAGTAAAATAGAACTAACTTCAAACCATTTAAGTGATCGCAATCTATATTATAATAATCCATTTTCTGGATGCTTGAATGTTAATATAACAGCAAAACAGGCACACTATAGCACAAAACCATTAAAATGATTTAACTTGAATAAAACAATTTCTAATAAAATCAAACGACTGATTTCCAAGTGATTGTTTTAAGTATACTGAGGAAGGTGGGGAGAGGTCTGTCCAGAGGAGATAGCCCTGGATCTATTAACTGCTAATTACAGATTAGTTTCCCTTAATAAGTGTAACAGGCAGGACAGAAACCTTTGCCTGCACTCCTCCTCTCCCTCCTCCCCACCAGTGATGATATTTCAATAATTAAGCCAAGTGAAAATTAGCATTTACTAATATCCTGATAAGTAAATGTGACATTTTCAACAATGTAGTTTAACTTACAGATGACATGTTCAAGGAACATAGCAGTGACATGACGGCAATGGCTTAAGTACATATAGTCTCATGGATTTGACTATAGAACACAGGCAAGACACCTCATAAGCATACCATGGACAGAGCATGAGGAAATTTTAAGCAAAAACAGAAACGAAAAAGAACACTTAGAATGAGAAAGATCTAGTTACAACTTTGGGGACAAATAATGAGAAAAAAACGGTTTGGAGAATTTAACACTCACAAGACAGATTGAAGGCAAAAGGGATAGTTGGAATCTACCTAAGAGATCTGTACAAATATATAGCAGGACAGAGTGAAAGAGACACCAAAAAGACAAATATTGCTAAGAGCTACAAAGAATAAGAAAGTGTGGAGAGTCATTATCAACCAAGTTCAAGTTTTGTTCTATTAGATCAATGCATTCAGTGGATTCAGAGCCTGAATGTTGGTTTCCAATGGATGAGAAGATGAAGTCTTTATTGCTATAACCATAAACCATAAGATGTATTCGCAGCTATCTTGTGAATAAGACGTATTCATAGGTATATTATTAAATATCTTGAATGGTTAACAAGGAATGCAACTACTTCATGACTTCTCTAAGTTTCATGTCCATTCAGGATGTGAAAAATCACGTCTCTGTGCAACTTCCTTTCTATTATTGCTTTCAGCAATAATTGCTTTACCAACTTTGGCGTTGTGATACTTGTTCCTTCATCCATTTTTTTTCAAATTTAGAAAGTTATGAACCTTCAGAGTGTTAAATTTTCAAAACCTTCCTTTCTCAGTGTGTGTCCAAAAAGTTTTATATGTTTTTTTTTGTTTTTTTATACTTGTCGCCAACAGCTTCTTCGCAGTTCCTCTTTTCCTTAAAACTTCATTTTGCCACATGATGTCCATGATGGACTCAATACGTGTCAGTAAAAACCACATCTGCCATTTCGCATCTTTTCAATTTTGATGAAACTGATAAATTAAGCAATGCATAGCCATGAAATAGCATTCTGTATGCTCATCTATGTGACTTTGTTTACCACTGGGTGCTCCACTTTTATGTCCTTGTATCAGACTAAGATAAGCTTAATAAGCACATATACATTTTAAATTATTAAAGATAAACTAATTATAAAAAGTAAAGTGTGCTCCAAATAATTGAGAACACACCTCTAGTGAATCATAAATAGAAGATGGTCCAACATAATGTTATGTAGCATCTTAGCAATCTCTTCATTTCTCTTTCAGACTAAATATTAAATATAGCAGCTTCCAATCTAATAAAGGAAATGAAAAAGCACAAGGAGCTCATGACTCTAGCTGGCAACCCCTATGAATTGGAGATTTCTTATAAGAAACATTATAAGGGAGTCAGATGTTGTAAAGAAAACCAAATCTGTCTTGCAAATCCAGGATCTCATCAAGCACAACCCTAGAAAATTGATAAGAGTCATCACTGATCAACTAAAGATGCCAGAGTTCGCTATCATATGGTGAATGAGGACATCAGGTACAAATCCTATGTGAGGGCAGTTCATGTTTGACAAGGCTCAAAAGAACCATGTGATCTGATCAAAACACTTACTAAACAAGCTCAGGAAGCATGTCATGCTCTAGTTCTTCTTCAATGAGAAGAGTTTTGATTAGGATCAAAAGATGAACATCAGCAAGAAGAATTTGATCAGGACCAAAAGATGAACAGATGAAATGACAGATAGCTCTGCACAGACAGCCTGATTGATTAACCATTTTCTTTTGGTTCAAAAATGGAAAATGAATTCAGATTTTTTTCTATTGAATATCTAAGTTTGATTCTGTATAATTTGTTTTCAGCAGATTCACTCTATACAGCCATGTATTTACTTTTTAGATTTTAAATTTGGATCAGTTTTTATTTTTGGTATACTAATAAAATATTTTTAGTATACAAATAAAATATTTTTGGTATACTAATAAAATATCTTTGATATACTAATAAAAGAATTGATGATTAATGTTTTGATGTAATGCATTACGTTTTGCATGCATGTTTTGATGTCAAAAACAAAAAAATTGAAAGACAAAAAAACAAATACATTAACAATTTCACATACTGTAACTTTTATTGATTCTTGTGGAGTTTTGGAGGTGCAGTCTACATCGATCAGACTGTAGAACCTCTGGAAGCAGGGGTATGGGCAGAGTGCACACTTTCTGCACCCAAACTGGGTCTAGTAACACTTTTTCTCTCTGTCTGGACAAACACCACAATCTGGGTGAGAAGACCTGCCACATTTCAGGTGCTTGGGGTTGATTACAAGGTGGTGTTCTGTTTACACTATCCTTTCGGTGGGGGTGGGGGAAATTTGGTCCTCCTACCTCCCCTGTGACTTATCAACCCTTTGCAGGTTATTTAAAGCCAGAAAATAGTTTTAGATTGTAAGACTTTTTTTTTTTTTTTTTTTGAGATAAAGAATTTAGTGATGCAAGTCATACAAATTAACTGGGGGGGGAGAAGAGGTAAATGCATATAGCTTTCCCAAGGGTATTTGCACTTAAGTGAATATAATGAACACAGCCACAATTGGAACTGCTCTCTGATTAACAATTCCAAGCCATTATCCATTACACTACAAGCTTAGAGCAATTGGTATCCCAAAGCAGTCACCCATCTAGGTACTAACCAGGTCCAATTTTAACTTTGGTCATTGTATGGGGACTAGTGTTTCAATATGACCATAAGTGTGTTACCTGCAGTTGCCTGAAAGCAAAGCACATCATTTTATATGACTTAAGTACACACAAGGATCATATATCTTTATGAAAGGTACATGTAAAGTGAGCATCTATCAACATTGGTCAGCAAGTTTGAAAACAAAATAACAGTCTGACAGAGTGCTAAAACATTCCCGCTTTTCCAAGTGGTTGGAGTTGGTCAGACAAAAATCAATTTCTCTTCACCATTTTACTGTCCTGGATATGACAAACTACATCCGGCAGCAAGACCTCTGATCAAGAGGTTTTGAGGAGCATGGGGTCACCTCTAAATTGCTGTTGTTTCCAGGTCCACTCTGACTTTGGGTGGTAGCACCAGTTAGGGTCCCAACTATAGACAAATAGTTAAGTTATTTGTTTTTTCTAACGGTAACTTTATCAGGATTGGTTAGTTTATTTATTTACTTGGATGAATTTAGGTCAATTTATTTTTACTTGTATATTTTCTCTTTTTTAGAAAAGACAAATAAAGATAATCAACCCAAATAAACACAAATTAAAAACTGTTTCTGCCAAAATAATAGTTAGAATAAACTACAACAACCAACCCCAAAACTGAACAAATAGCTTTAATTAAATTCTCAAACCAAAACAAAACTATTAAATAAGTGATATAAACAAATTTTTTACGTTAATAAAAACACCGATTAAAAAAAAATAAATAAATAAATAAATAAAAAAAAAAAACATAAAATAAAAACAAGCAAAATAATTTAACCCAAATAAATAAATAAACGACTTCCGGTAAAATAACCGCCATAATAGACTACCCACAATGCACCACTGACCCGTATATGTATAAATAGCCGAGAAAAATAACAGCACACGTGGCCTGATGATTGCATATAGCATGAAACAGACTGTCGCCTCTAAGTGTTGACTTCTATGTTCACTTTTATATTTACACATGCTCTATCTCTGATATTGAGCACTTTATCCCATAAATATAGCACACCTTAAGACTATATTTTTCTTCATATATATATATATATATATATATATATATATATATATATATATATATATATATTATATATATGCTGTATAGGAGGACAGATGTCACATAGCAGCTCATTTTATTAAATGACCTAAAAGGAGTTGATATGCTGCTAAACAAATCTTCACCATTCTACATTGAAATAAAATAAGAATGACAAAGCTCTGTTGTATTTTCAATATCCCTACCATGAAGACAGAGATCAGGTGTCTTGCAAAAACAAATTTTATTGCAACTGTTTTGGGATTTCATTTCAAACAATCACAACTATGAAAATAAGAAAACATTATTACCATTGGTACCGTGACCGTTACTGAGTGTTCCATAAACATTTAATAATGAACTTTTGAAACTCACCATATCTCTGGGAATGTTGCCCGTGCCTTCTGGGTGGAGTGGTGTACAACGAGAAGCATGACCATAACAGGAACAACTTCCTCGGACTGTCATGTCATACATAGCATAATAATATTTCTTCTTCGTATCACCTTGATCATGAAGCAGGACATCACCTACAGAAATTTAAAAAAAAAAACAATAATTAAGACAGTTTTAGTAAGAATTTTGTTTTAATTTCCAATTCTCATAACCCTTTTACTGCTGTAGATGTACTTAGATGTCTTCCTGAAACTTACCACCTGCTGATGTATATAGGTTTTTAAGACACCATAAAAATATCGGCATTTGTCTTAAAGTAACCAGCACTTATTGCTATATTCAAACCATCATAGACATACAATAGAACCTGTTTTGTCATGTATTTTTATCGTAAGTTAAGGGTGTCATTTAACCTAGTCTGTACAACAGAATATCCAATCAAGACCAAAATGACGGTGGGTATGTGAAATTGTTATCAGCATAACTTATAAGCAAACTTATTTTTTCCTATTTTTCTTAAAACGGGCCAGTACAGCCAGGCAACAATATTATAACAATGCAGCAGTAAAAATATTAAAAGATTAATGCACTTTTCAGCAAACTATATTTTGCACAGGTAGAGAGCACTTGCCATAAAGTTGTAGTTCATAAGCATCATCACTCGACCCTCTACAATTAATAAATATAAAATAAATAAGCTGAGTCAATTATCTGCACATACATAGAGAAAAGGCCAGATTTTTACATTAGCATTTAATTAGTTTTATAGCAACAGTAACTAGATACAATCAGTATAGAAATGGATGTTGTAATAACAATGTGGGGTTTAAGTAATTTGAATCTTTCAAATAGATCATAAATTCAAAATTTAGTCATTGAATATTCAAATCTTGATTTTCCAGAGCAGTAGAACCTCTCCACTTAAAAGTCTGGCACAGCAATTTTCATTTTTCTGTTTGACTTTGTTTAATAAAATGAAGGAAATATCAAAAAATAGAAATCCACAAAATTGAGACAATTCAGATCACAGCCATGTTATACAGGGTTGACGCATCCTCATTCTCTTTATATTCCATTGGTAAGGAGGAAGTTCCCCTCAGACAGCTTCTTCCCCAGAGCTGTTGCTTTGTGGAACAGACTCTCAAGATGTTGTTTCCATGATCACTACAATCTTAACCTCTTGGTGAACCATTATCTTTCCTACTATGAAAAAATAAGTGAAATTACCTGCACTTATGGAGCAGCCGTTGGATGTGGAGACAGAGTGGTTGATAGATTCTGGTTCATCAAAGCAAGGCTGCTCCAAGAAACTGATTATGTAGTCTTTTGTTACTGGAAAGGGTGGGATGAGCAGGTTTGCTCATTGTTATTTAAGGTCTGCATTCTCTTCCTTTTAGCAATCTATTTTTTTTTTTTTTTGAGAAGGACATTACACGAACGGACTCATTTCGTGCTCTCTTTTCTCTATTATTTGATCCCTGTTTAAAATTGAGACACAAAACAAGGTGTGTTTCGCAACACTTACTGCCAGACCGACCTTGATTACTCTTGAGTTGAAGAAATTTTCAACACTACATACCATTATAATATCACTGATTACTTCATTCTTCTACACCCTTTAATTTCATTCAGTAACTCTCTACCTTGAGTGGCTCTTTGCTTTTGTATTAGGCAAATAATAGTATTAAAAAAGAAAAATATCTCAACAGAACTGGGAAAATTGTGGAACATGAAAGAAGCAGGTAAATCCATCATTACTGGCAAGCTTGGCAGAAATGAAAACCAATAAATGAATAGAAACTACCCCCCCTGACAAGAGTATTTCTAAAATCAGCAAGAATAGCAATGGAGACTTACTGTCTAGCGACTAAGAAAAGCATTAGATATTTGTACAAAGAAAACTTTGATGCATAATTATGTTTGATGGGATGTGGAAAAAGTAATCTCTTGAAGACTTTACAAACGACCGATACGACCATGTAAACCAAAATGTTCAAATCAAGAACTGTGAAAGAAATTTAAAAAAATTATTCATGCGACTTTGACACTGAAATGAAATGAATCACCCAGTTCAGGTCAAGAAAAATATAATCCTGCCTAAATAATTTTTTCAGATAGGTGTCACCATTGTAGTTGATGCCCTTCCAGGAAAACTAAACTGTGAAGTTTACAGCTGCACTCATCAAACAGTCTGACAAAAGAGGATCGGAAACATTAAAAGCATTTTCATAAGGCCATTACTAAAATCAACTACAATACTGGACAGAGTGCTGGAGTACTGAAGAGATTTTTTTGTCACTTTATCCCTAGAGATAACCACCAGATACAACGGGTGTGAAAATTCAACATTATAATAACAACGCCTACTGACTTTTACTTTTTTCAAGGAGATTCTATATCAATGGGTTATTTTTCTAATAAAGTTTTCTTTTAATTGTTACTGCTTTCACTGTAAATGAGGTTGATAGGCACTTCGTCTCAGGGTGTGACCTGAAAACATCATACAGGATCCCATTTAGATCATGTTTCTCATATTTAGAAAAGTATTTCCAAAAAAGAAATTGTACACTAAACCTAAATACAGAAAACTTTGTTTCTATTTTCAAGACTTATTACTTGAGAACCAATTTTGTTATCTAAAGAGAATCACTAATCATTCTTAAGTTATATAAATTTTTAAAAAATAAAATTCAAGAAGGATATATTGTTAGTATGAGTATACTTAGCCACTCTAGCAGACAGGCATACTCAGATGCAAGTGGTTATTTAATCCCTGTTGCAGACATCTGCTCAGACACATTATTCCTAAACACCCACAGATGCAACAATACTGAGCATGCCTTAGTTAAGTTTTCTGGAAGAAAGTGCATAGTCTGATATGATCAGTAGTTGACTATGGTCAGTATGCTGAAAACCTCAGCCACAATGACTTTTGATTTTGTGTTAGATCAACCATTGACAACTTCCAAACAGTTCTGCCTTTCAATAGGAGGCTATTTATAAACATGGATTCTTTAGTATACTAGTTAATTGAAGTTCTTTAGCAAAATATATGCACTTTCCATTAAATATTTAAAATAGTATATATAGCTGAGCAGTCACAAATGTACAGTGAAACCCGGATATAAGAGAGATTTTCTCTGGTCCCAAATTAGAGCCTGTGTTAATGTATATAAAATAGACCAAACCCGGATATAAGAGAAACCCGGATATAAGAGACTTCTTCTCCGGTCCCGACAACTCTCTTATATCCGGATTACACTGTACAGTATTCATCAAGCTTATCTCACAAGTCACTGAGAGTGATTTTAATCCTTGCCAAATATTCAAGATATATAACTTTGTGAGAAAAAATTAATCCAACAAATACACACATTTTTTTTTTATCATAAGCTGTTTTTTTGTTTTTATTTTATTTTTTTTTAAATCAAAAAATAAATCTAACTTCATTGACCCATGAATGTTAGAATTGACAGCATAAGGAAAAAAGAAAAAATTTATCTGAATCAACATAGGTTATTCTTTTTCTCTCAGACACAAAACATTAAGACTTCATTGTTTTAGTCAGATTAGTAGATAAAGTACCTAGAGAGAAAAGAGCTGGGTACAGAGAAAATAAATTGTGGGGTGGTGTGATGTTGGCTGTGGGGAGTGGATATAGGAAAGCAAGCTGAACTTTCAACAAAATACCAAAGACAACCTTTCAGAAATAGAAGTTAAACATTGTCGTCCAACTCCCAGATATAAACATGTACTGGGCAATCTCAAATATTTCTCAATGCCAGACAATAAATCCTGTCTTTGCTATGAGAAGACTTATAATGGGGTTTCTTTTTTCTTTTCCTCTCCCCTCCCCAACTCCTCCTCTCACTGGTTAAGTGAGAGTTGACAATATCCCAACATTCATCTAGGCTCTAAAAAAAAAAAAAAAAAAAAGTTACATTGATACAAAAGCTTGTCAAGAAAGAATTTTTTTTATTATTAATTATTTTTAAAAACAATTAAAATGTAACCAACATTAAATCAATCCTTTTATTCTTTGTTTACACACACACTATTCAAAAGTTTTGAGAATTTAACCATTAAAAAAAAAAAAAAAAAATAGTTATCCTAACACCTAGTTTCCACTGTCTCCTTCAAAGTAGTCTCCTTGTCTACTGTTTGGTAGCATTGTGTGTGTAAAATGTTTCATCTGTACCTAAAAACTCATCTCTTCACATAACCAATTTATTAAAGCTCATTAACAGTAACGTTGCTAAATTCTGTCAAGCCTGCTTTTGGCAAAATAATTAGATTTGAGAGTGTGGCTTGAAACAAGAATACCAAATTACATGAACAGAGAATTCACAATCAGTAATTTGCTATTTTATGTACAACTGCATGAGTCAGAAAATCAAGCCACTGTGCATGAAGCGACTTGGGGGAGAGGGAAGTTAATGCCAGGACAAATGGGAAAAGCGGCATAAGAATAATTATTTCATATCAAATTATGCAATGCAAAATGCATGTAGTCATTTTTGACAAGAAGACAATTAGGCAAGGACGAGAGGCCAGGAGCAAGATGGAAGGTGGCGAGGAGAGAAAAAAAGGGCATAGGGTGGAGGAAGAAATAGAAAAGGGAGGAGACCCAATAGAGAAATGTCAATTCTTTACAGTTTCTTTCCCCCTCAACTTTATATAATCAACTACCAACAAATTTATTTTTCTACTTTTCATAAACAGAATCTGAAGGCGGGCATACCCCACAAGTATCTTACAGGTATACATCTCCATTTATTTTGTTAAAGCATCAATATATACACACAGGACTGGATCTTCTAATGCTTGGACTAATGTCATGTTAATAATGGAATCAGATTACTGACAGTTCTAACTTATACACAAAGAGACCAAAAAAGGTGGCTTATAATCATGTCAACATGAAAGCCCTAGTTCATCTCTGATCACTAGGGTTGGTACCAAAATTGGTCTGCTTTGAAATGGGTGACCACTTAAGAACATTGACCTCACAGATAATGAAACTAATTTCCCAATACACTCTTTTGTACCAATCTACCAACACAAAATACATTATCTTTTTTCAATTAATTTTTAAACCAGTCTTTATTTTCAAACTTGATTCTCATCAATGCCAAGCAAGTAGAACTATATATATATATATATATATATATATATATATATGAATGAGAACCATTGAGTGTAGAAAGTAGAATGGAAAATGATCTGGCTAAAGATAAATTTAGTTCCTTTGCAGACATTGAAAAGTTCAGGTAACATAATGGTTAGTAATGCAGAAAATGGAATTGGCAATTTCAGTTCAAGTTCCAGCATGATCAGATACATTCTTTTTTGTACTTTCTTTACCATCTCCCAGCTATGGATTAAATAGCAAGGTAGGCGGAGTTCTCTGGTCTTGGGTGGCAACCAGATTATGAGAAGGACAACAGAATCATTCCTTCTTTGTTCTTTTTTCATTCATACATTTTTCCTTATTTTTTAACATCAAAAAAAGCAAAATACTTACCTAAAGTGTGAAGTTTAGTGAAATTTATTCTCAAATTGGTCAATTTCAGCAAATCTTGAACTTCAGAACTGTATGGATTTCCAATACTGATTGATGTGGGCAACACTTGGAAAATCACCTGCAGAGAAATTATTAAATTTTTAAATTAAAAATAAAGTATAATTTTAAAAATTCAAAGCAAGGAAGACTTAGTATTTTTCTGGCAATATTTGTTGCAAAACCATTGCTGCTTTAGAAAATTTAGACATTTTACTTCCTTTGCTCCAAAGTCATTAATTTCTGTTAACACATTTCCATTTCAGCAAATACAAGCCAGACCATCACAAAAGTGCACAATCCCTTTTCACAAAATAAAATCAAAATATACTTTAATAATATTTAAAAAAAAAAAAAAAAAAAAGTTATTTAGTTATTAATTGTTCATAATCCATTATTACAATCTCTACTACATTGTAATTGTTTTTTTTATCTGAATAATTGGAATCAATAAAAATCAACCACCGAAACAAATAGTGTGAAAGGAAAAAGGTCACAGCATCTAACAAAATAAAGATCACATCTTTCATGGTCATTACCTCAATCAATAATTGTATTCTTTCATTTTCTAAATTTTCATTAAGGATAAAAGTTTGTATGAAGTTTTCTGTCTTGCACATTCTTACTTAATTGTCACTCTTTTTTAATATTCTGGTTTAAAGAGAAAAACAAAAGTTGTTTGTGATTAAATATTGGTTTTTAATCATTGTTAAAAAAATTAAATTTGACCTTAGCCAACGAAATTATTACTGTATCTAGTTAAAGTTAGGTAAATTTTTGGCAACAGAGTCTATGCTTATGAGAAATGGGGGAAGTATGGACTGGAGAATATACAATTCTTATTGCAAGATGTCCAGCTAGAAAACCTACTCTATGGCAATGATAACAGCATTGGTAAACTAAAGTAACTGAAAATTTCAAGTCATTCAACCTAGAAAGGCTGAAAACGATCCGCTTAACTCTTGCCAGAATTTATTTCACTAATGCAATCTCCAAACAATCTTCACTGCATCACCAACAAAAATTAATAATCAAACTTGGAGCCAAACAGATAGAAAAAGGTCAAATGCAACGAAAAGGTCAAAATGGAGGCCAGAAAAGAAAGAAAAAGATCAAAGGGGAACCAAAAAAGAGTGTCCAAGTGTAGCTAGAAGGACAAAGGTCAGTAGAACAAAAAGGTCAGCACATATAAAAAAAAGGTAAGAAAAAGGTCAAAGTGTAGCCAAAAGGATAAAGTGCAGACAAAAAAATAAAGATATAGGTCAAAGTGTAGACAAAGGAAAAAGGTCCATGTGAAGAGCAAAAGGAAAGAAAAAGATGAAAATGAAGCCAGAAAGAAAGAAAAAAGTAAAAAAAAGTTCAAAGTGCAGACAACAGACAAAGAAGAAGGTCAAAGTGCAGACAACAGACAAAGAAGAAGGTCAAAGTGCAGACAACAGACAAAGAAGAAGGTCAAAGTGCAGACAACAGACAAAGAAGAAGGTCAAAGTGCAGACAACAGACAAAGAAGAAGGTCAAAGTGCAGACAACAGACAAAGAAGAAGGTCAAAGTGCAGACAACAGACAAAGAAGAAGGTCAAAGTGCAGACAACAGACAAAGAAGAAGGTCAAAAGAAGAAAAGTGCAGACAACAGACAAAGAAGAAGGTCAAAGTGCAGACAATAGACAAAGAAGAAGGTCAAAGTGCAGACAATAGACAAAGAAGAAGGTCAAAGTGCAGACAACAGACAAAGAAGAAGGTCAAAGTGCAGACAACAGACAAAGAAGAAGGTCAAAGTGCAGACCACCAAGAAGAAGGTCAAAGTGCAGACCACCAAGAAGAAGGTCAAAGTACAGACAAGAAAGAAAATGTCAGGGTGCAGCCCAAAATAGTAAAGAAAATCAAACTGCTGCAATTATTTTCACATTTTTATTTGCAAAATTAGTTTCATGGTACATTAACATTTCTGTAATTATCACAACTTTTAAAACAAAGATAATAATCCTTCCTATTCAGATGAAAAGGTTATTCACATACTTTGAGGAAAAATTGTGAATTTTTGGCATAGCAGAAGCAAACCATTGTTTCTATCTGCAAAGTTTGGCTTAAAAAAGTACTGCTTGATTGCTAACACTGTCTGAATATGTTAAGTTTTTATCCATTCCAGAAAGAGTTAATTGCTGATCGGATCATGTACAGGTCTCCCAAATTCATTAACATGAGATGACAGGTCCAAGTTGCTACAAGCCACAAACTGCAGGAACTTTTTTTTTTTTTTTTTTTAACCCATGTAATCAAAGGCAGTTAGATAATTGGAAATAAAGAAAAAGTTATCGCTTGTCCAACTCAGTTTGAAAGAGAAATCAAAGTCTTTCTTTGACTTTACTCTATTCTTTGTCTAAATCAAACATTCTTAACTGTAAGTCATTAATGTTTCTACTCTTAACAAACAGATCACTGAGCATTTCAGACAACTTATATAGGATTCCACTGTTGCATAACCATCAACCCTTTCTAGTCGCACGTACACAGAGATTATGATATAAGGTTCATTATCCTATTAGCATTTATCTTATTATCTTCATCAACATCCCCCTCACACCTGAGCATCAGGAGAATCATCCTCTCTCCTTATTTGTTTTCTCTCTCTGGTGGTGGTCGTGATGGAGATGGCTGTGAAGGCCCTGCCTACTCCTGGAGAGTAGTGTGCAGGAGTGACAGGGGAGTGTGGGTGCCCTCCTGACAGCATGTGGCAGAACCTCTTCATGTTGACAGGTGGACTATATTATTATAGACACACTTACATTGCTTGCTGTTTACATACAGGGTGCGATGGATAAATTGTCATCTAAATTATGCAAAAATGAAAATAACACATCAAATGACATCTCACTTTCAAAGTTACATTTACCAAAATTACAAAAAAATATGTTGAAATAGTAAAGAGTAAATTTATTCAATAAAATAACCACAGCCTCCAGACGACCTCAGAATCTCCTGCAGTTCTTCAAGACAGTCTCCTTGGTGAATGCTGCCATAATCCTTGCTTTCAGTTCATCTTTGGTGTTACAAGGAGTTTTGTTACTCTCTTGCTCAACTGTGCCCCACTCATAATAATCAAGAGGGTTGCAGTCTTGGGGTGTGATGAGGTCACAGAAATTGTCTGACAGCCCAGACTGGGTGCTTGTGTAGCATGGTGCAGATTCCTGTTGTCAGACAGAGTCTTCCAGCAGACACCCTCTTGACTCAGGGCAGCACGACCTTCCTGGCAATGGAACTGATTGACTTGTAGGGATTGTTGTCAATCATTGCCTAGATCTCACCAATAATCAGAGTGAATTTTCCGAGCTGCTGTACCTTCATAATCACCATTAAACTCATCCAACTCTTTCTGAATCTTCTGCACTGTCCACAGATTGACATGTAAACATTCTGAAATGTTCATATTGGAGGTTCCAGCATGAATACCAAGCAGTACAGCATGTAGTTTCAATTTTTCTGGCAAAGTGAATTGTATCATGGTGCTCTTTTTCTCACAGACAGGGCCCAGCCAACCCTACTATACTGTTGTTATAGTGAAACACACCTATTCTATTGTTAATAGACTCTCCCACCTAAGTAGGAGTAGTAGCAGTCGCTAAGTGGCTGAGTAGTTGATGAGTCAGTCGATGCCAGACAACTGTTAGTCGGATATTAAAGTATCAGCCACCACAACTAGATTGCTGCGTCATTAACTATTATATCAAGTTCCTAACGTTTTGTACGTTGAACCTATTTTAGGACCGACTTAGTGAAATACAAGCCTCCACTGTGAAACTATAACAACTGTGCAGTTGACAAAATCAAAAACCGTATGCATGCACAAAATTAAAAATATAAAATGGTGACACTTTACCCATTGCACCCTGTATATATGTTTATAAGACACCCAGAAATGTTAGTGCCTAGCATTTGTGTTATAAAGTAAATAGCACTATTTCAAAACCAGCACAGATATATAGTACCATTTAAGAAGGAGGCTGCTATGGTCATTGCCATTTTCATTATGTCTTTGGTTAAGGCAATGGTGTTGTATAATTACAATTGAATGAACAACTAGACTAAATTTTTAAATATAAAAACTTTTGTGGCTGTAAAGAACCGAAAACTGATAAGGCAAAGAGTTATTATGATCAGATCACGTTTACCACTACACAAAACTAACAATTATTAATGTACAAGAATATTTCCCTGGTGAATAGAAATTGCTATCTCAATACGAAATGATTTAAGTAACAGCCAAATGCTTGAATTAGATGAGCAGGGTGGGACCAGTATAAGAATATAAAGTTACAAAAACAGTGATATAAATACTGATCAAAATTTGTCTATATTTCTGAAATAAGGTATTGTAACTATTTACAATATGGGAACCGGTAACAAAAAAAGCAACAATAACAAATTGTAATATGAGATCTTTTAAAAACGGTTACTGAAACATTAAGTTTATAAGTCCCAAAAATTCATTCACTGATGTCCCCAAAGAGACATGGCCCAGCCGATAAAAAGTGTTGGTTAAAGTAATCCAGTTACTGGACCCAAAGAGATGCGAGTTCAATACCTGGCCACAGCAGTAGTGAACAAAATCTTGGAAAGTTGAGTTACTAAAGGGAAGTAACTGAAACTGAGATATCTAAAAAAAGACATGGCGCGTGGAACTAGAACAATCTACGCTCAAAAATAAAGGGTTCAGATTGAAATTCCAATGTATATCACCTGAAGAAGGCCAGAGCAAGCTGAAACATAAATATGACAATATAGATTGGGATGACAGTTTGAACAAGATAAAGTGTAAATTGATCAAAATTTATCTCATAAATAAAAAATTAATTTTTGTCCATCCTTTGAAAAATAAATCAAATGGTAAATGTCAAAACTACCCCACTCCAAACATTTTTTTTTTAATTAACACCCGCTGAAAAATGTTTTAATCACAAACACTTTTCAGTCCATATATGTATGCAAAGGGTTTTCCCAAGAAAATGTTTTTATAAAATATAAACTTCATTTTATCATTCAATTCATATAATTTTCTTTTAGCATAAATCTATTTTCTGCATTCT